TATAGTATATACTTGTTGGTGCCTTTGTCTATAACACTTTCAGACTTGTACGTATGAAATGGTAATAAATACTTTAGTCGACAAGAACAGGCGGAGTCTTCGTCCACTTTGTACATCCACATCAATGTGCCACCTTATTGTTATCAATTTTCTTACCATAACTCTGTCCTTGTCAGTAAACTTTTTCAAATTAAAATTAATTACCACCGAGATTTTTACCAATGAAATTGACTTTCAGACACGATGAGTTGTCAGAAACGAGACTTGTCTTTTTCTGTTTCATTGTCCTCTTATATATCCCACAACAATCTTAGCTACATCTTCATGCACATTTAAATAGACATCATCATCATCACTTCTTCTTGAACCCAAACTTAAAAAAAAAAAGGAATAATGGATCTTCTATGTATCCTCTCTTCTCTTCTCATTTCTTACCTCATCTTCAAGTTATGGAAACGTATAGATTCCAAGAGAGATCAAAACTGCTACATCTTGGACTACCAATGTCACAAACCTTCTGATGATCGTATGGTGAGTACTCAGTTCAGCGGTGAGATCATCCTTCGAAACAAACACCTTAGACTCAACGAGTACAAGTTCCTCCTCAAAGCCATCGTTAGTTCAGGTATCGGAGAGCAAACGTACGCACCAAGACTCTTCTTTGAAGGCCGTGAAGAGTGTCCTACTCAACAAGATGCTCTCTCGGAGATGGAAGAGTTTTACATAGACACAATCGAGAAACTCCTCGAGAGAAACAAACTCTCACCTAAAGATATCGACGTCCTCGTAGTCAACGTTGCCATGCTAAACTCAACACCTTCTCTTTCAGCAAGAATCATTAACCACTACAAAATGAGAGAAGACATAAAAGTAGGTCAAGTCTCATTAATACCAATTTTTAGTTTTTTTCACAAAAAAACATCTAAATAGAAAAATCTTCAAAATAATATTTTATTAATCAATAAACTACCCAACAACCTAAACCCTAACTATACTCTTAAATACTAAATCATATTCCCTCCGTTCCTAAAAGATTTATGTTCTGGAAAAATATTTTGTTTCAAAAAAAATATATATTCTATGTTTTCTATGAAAAAATTACAAGTTTCAAAAAAATTAATTGGTTTTATTAGATTATTATTGGCTAAAAGTTGTTGAAAATTAAAAATTACGAAAAATAATAGTAATTTAATGTGTATTCTTAATATGTGTGAAAACAGTAGAAAGTCTATCTTTTAGGAACAGATGGATTAAATTGTAATCATTAAATCTAAACTCAAATATATAAATATAAATATTTTATTAATCAAGAAAAACACTAAACTACCCAACAACCTAAACCTTAACTATACTCTTAAATACTAGATCCTAAATTATAATCATTAATCTAAACTCAAATATATAAATATAATTTTTTTCTTTTTATTTTTTATCTTTTAATGAATGTTATTTAAAATTTTATTTTTACTATTCTTTGAATAAAAATTTGATTTAGTGCTATTTGTAGGTCTTCAACTTGACGGCAATGGGATGTAGCGCTAGTGTTATCTCTGTAGACATCGTTAAAAACATCTTCAAAACATACAAGAACAAGCTTGCTCTTGTGGTAACATCTGAGTCACTTAGTCAAAACTGGTACAATGGAAACAACCGGTCTATGATCCTAGCTAACTGCTTGTTCCGGTCCGGTGGCTGCGCCGTTCTCTTGACTAACAAGCGTTGTCTGAGCGGGAAAGCCATGTTGAAGCTGAAATGTTTGGTACGAACCCACCATGGAGCCAGAGAGGATTCATACAACGCATGTGTCCAAAGAGAAGACGAGCTAGGCCGTGTCGGTATCCACTTAGACAAGACTCTTCCAAAAGCAGCGACTCGGGCCTTCGTAGACAACCTCAAAGTCATCACGCCCAAGATTCTTCCCGTGACAGAGCTCTTTAGGTTCATGTTTTGTCTACTTCTCAAGAAGCTTCGTAGAAACCCTAGCAAAGGCTCCACGGCTGGGGCTCAGGCAGCTCCAAAGGCAGGGATTAACTTCAAGACCGGTATTGACCATTTTTGCATTCACACGGGAGGTAAAGCGGTTATAGACGCAATAGGTTACAGCCTTGACTTGTCCGAATACGATCTTGAACCGGCGAGGATGACGTTACACCGGTTTGGGAACACGTCAGCGAGTAGCTTGTGGTATGTTTTGGGGTACATGGAAGCTAAGAAGAGGTTGAGAAGAGGAGATAGAGTGTTCATGATAAGCTTTGGGGCTGGTTTCAAGTGTAACAGCTGCGTTTGGGAGGTTGTGAGAGATCTTAACGTTGGAGAAGCTTTGGGGAATGTTTGGAATCATTGCATTGATCAATACCCTCCAAAGTCGATTGCGAATCCTTTTCTTGAGAAGTATGGTTGGATTCGTGAAGAAGATGATCATGACACTTTCAAGCTCAGGGAGGAAGTTATGTGACATGTTTTCTTGTAATAATTACAATACATACGATTATTTCAAAACGTAAATCTTCATAAAGGTGACTGTATTATGTTTTTACTTTCCTTTTTTTTCTTTTCAGTTTTCAGAACTATTTGGATTATGTTTCGGTTGCGATATTTGTTTTTTTTCTTTAATTGGATGTGAAAGAAAATATGAATGACAAAGAAACTTCGATATACAATAGTTTTGTCTCATACTTAAAAAAAAAAGAAGATTCAGTGTAATAAAGTTGTTTATTGTGTTCCTTGGTGAATAGTAATACTATAAGAAGCCATTACCTTTTAATCTTTCACCTGTATTACTTAAGTAAAGCTTGTACGTGGTCACACTTGCTGCCTCTACATATATATTCACGCTACTCTCTCCAACTTTAGTAGTTGTTTCTTTTTTCAAACTTTAGTTGTTATAGCATGACACTATTGCCTATGTCTTTCATATGTTAGCTTCTTGACTTCTTGTAATGTGTTTTTTTACTCAGCTTCAACAAGGTAAATCTTGGAACTCAAGAGTTTTTTCTTTGAATTAAACCTATATAAAATACTGTATAGGAATATCATTGTGGAATTTCTATAAAAATAATAATAATCTGGTGTTCATGACTATGGAATTTGTATAAAAATAATAATAATCTGCTTGAGGGCTGTTGTATAGTTTTGTGCCAGCATTCGAGAATAACTGTAATTTACAGGGAAAAAGGTTTAGAATTTTTTACCAAAAAAAAAAGAAGGTTTAGATTTAGAAAGCTAGTTTCGTGTGAACACATTCAATTCTCATTTGATTCCAGTACCGTTCTGGTCCCATGTCTATTCTCAACGAACTTCAAAAAAAAAAAAAAATTGTAATTAGCTTCGACAATAGGAGAAGGGCTTAAACATTATTTCTTTTCTAAAAGTATCTCCAATGTAATACTCCAATTTTTCCTCCAAAATGGAGTAAATCTTGAGAACATATATACTTTTTCAAGGCAAAGAAAAAGCTAAAAATTGCAATATCTATATATCTATTTATAATATGATGGTCGCTATGAAATTCATACGTAACTGAAGTTTCCAGAGTTGTTAATAAATTAGGCTACGTAGATAAAAAAAAAGTTAAAGAAAAGTGACGGAAGGTTTTGGAGAAGTGTAGGACCTTTATGTTTACGATCGAATAATGTAAAAGCAGACGTAAGTAGTTGGAATGAATTCATTGTGCCTACTTGCATGCTTTTTTACTCGTAAGAAGCTCTAAAGATCAGTTGTCACTTTTATCTAAACCTAAACTGTCTTATATATTTCAAATGAAATTACATTTATGGCACCGAATCAATTTATTACTTGTGGTTGTGGTGGACTCCATTATACCAATATAAACTGGTCGAAGACTTCTGAAATCGCAGGTTTTCGAAACTTAATGCTAGTTTCTTAGTACAGTACGTATTAAAGAAACTCGTACATTGCAGCTTTTGATTGAGTTGGTGAAAGAGCATGAGAAATTTAGTAATAATGTTATAAAAGTTCAATTTGATGCATCCGTGTATGAATATAACCATTGCTCCTAGTTTCTTCTTATGTTCAATATCATGTTGGTTACCATGCGGGTCCATGCCATTGCTGCTGCCATGAATAGAGATTAGAATATCTCTTAGACATATTCATGAAGCCATTAAACATGCATTTAGTGTGGAGAACATCAATGGATGGAGAATTAGATGCATTTTTAAAATATTGAACCTAGTTCCTTTGTTTTTTCTTCTATCTGGGAAACAAGTTACGTATGGGATGTAAATGAGTATCCGATGTAAAAGATCTAGCAGATGATCAATATAAAAAAAAAAAACACAAAGAGCATCCAGTTGCAAAAAAGTTATACAACAGGAATATTAGGAGACATTCAACGAAAATCTGTTCTTTATTAAGATTATTTCAGGTATCTTAAGTTTGGATTCTTTTATAAGGATCTTCTCCATATTATATACCGTCTAATATTGAGTAAAATGCTGCAACAATAAACATAATATCACTACAAATGAGCCAACAATAATGCCTTTTATTGGTATCTTCTAAATGTCATATTCAAAATCCAATTAGGATTAGACAAGAGAAATCAAATTAGGATTAGACCAGAAAATAAGTGACTAACGTTAATGCAACACAGATTCTGAATGGGGGAAGAGATAGGCATTCATCTAATAAGTTTCAGCTACAAATGATCACCAACAAAAAGTTAACAGGTGATAAATGAAGAGATATGCATCAGCTTGAAGAAGTTTCAGCCACATATATGATCACCAACAAAAAGTTACTAAGTGATAAATGATAAATAAAAATGGAGAAGAGATATGCATCCATTCAATATATAGCTTGAAGAGTTTAAATTATATAAGATCACCAATAAAAAGAGTTACTTGGTGACAAAATGAACCAAATTAAAAAGATAAGTTCTGGAAAAGTTTACATAATGAAAACTGGTTCCTGATCTATGAATTCCACAAACAGATGGATTTTTACATCATAGATACTTAATAACAGATGATTTACACTCAATGTTGAGGTAGTGACGGCCTCTCTTCCATCATCTCATACAAAATATACACATGTTCCTGCAATAAGATGGTTTTTGGGTGGTCTTCAGACGCCAAATAAAAAAAAAGAAAAAACACAACCAATGAGCAGAACTTGGATGTATGTAATGTAATGTACTCACCCTTCGAACGCTCTCAAATATGTTTGGATCAAAACAGTCATATGTTCCTGTTTCATACATATGTGTTTCCAAGAGAGGTTCCCCGATTCGAAGGTACCAACCATTGGGTACTTTGTAATAGAACCAGCCCCTGTTGTAACTGCAAAAGAAAAGAAAAAAAGTTATGCAGTTTTGTCCTTCAATACATTTCAATAATCATGGAGAATAAAAATAAAAAAGCATTACAGTTCATTTGCTGCGTATAGCTGCTCCTCATCTTGCGGCATGCTGCATGAGAAAAAAAAAAAAAAAAAGCATTATGGTTCTTATGACAAATAAGGGCATCAACAAGTAATATAGTTTCAAAATATATGTACCTATAGAATATGTAAAACAATGTTTTCAGCGTAAATTTTCTATACCTCCCTTCCTGCATCCACATAACAAAAAATTAAAACTATATAATATATATATAAAGGTAATGATACGTGAATAATGTTACTTATGAGTAAGTAGAGTGAATTACACTTGGAGGTGGATTTTGTCTTGCATTGTAACACTGCGGTATAGTGAACTCATCATGATCATCTTCAAGGGGTTCATCAGCCCAAGGTGTGGCAAAAGTCTTGAAAAGACTTTTTTTTGAGGTCATATCTAACCCAAGTTCGGTTAAGTCCATCCCAATTGCCAAAGTAGTCGCGTCAGGGTTGGTGTTTTTAATCACACTAAGCAAACCGAGCATGCTATAAGGGTCAGGCTTTGGCTGTGCCGTCTCTTGCCTTGGTTTGAAGGGTTGGCCAATAGCTGACAGCTTCTGCCCACGTGAATGGGACGTGTTTCGATGGAACACGAGGGGCTGGTTATAACCCATTGGAACATTCACAGATGTTGGAGTTCCACCAGTCTGAAATCAATAGAAAGAATAAGAACGTTTGGTTCAATTAAGTAAAGAATTTCAAATGATTCAAAAAAAAAAAAAACATTAGAATATATCATACCTGAGAGGAGATAGCACCACTGCTCACAGCTTGAGCATGTTGTTGAGGATAGTGTGAGGTAGACGCACCACCAAAGTTATACTCACCAAGCTTTCCCATCTGTACATTAAAGGATAAAGTATACATTGTGAAGGAAGAAAATAAAAAAACCCAATGATAGTTATTGACAAGCTAAAACTCACAGATGGCTGTTGAGATTGCATCATTAGTACATGATGATGCAAATCCATTTGATAATCAGCATTTATTCCTGTATACAACCAATTAAATCTTGTTAATCGGTTATGTCATTATAAGAACAACAAATAAGCTGGATGCAGCCGCCTTGAAACATGTCAGAAAAAAATTAAAACAGGTAAGTACATTTTGTAGTAGAAACATAAATTAGGATTCAAGAGGGGGAGCATCACAATGGATCATGAAGATGATATGATCACAAAATATCACTCTCTAAATATAAAGATTCAGACAAAAAGGGAGACCTGTATATCCAGACAATGCAGGAAAATCTTCATCTTGAATGATGGACTCTTGGTTTAGCTGATACATGGAGCTGAGTCCAAGGTCTGTTGGGATATCTCCTAAGAATTTTTTTTTTTTTAAAAGAGTGGAAGTTAATATTTGATTCAAACTGATGATCATAAAAGAGAAAAAAAAAAAGAGAATCAAAATGGTTTATTTTATTACTTACCGAATTTGAATGGAAGAGTGTATTTATCATTCATAAAGCTCATAGAGCTTAGGCTGTTCATTCCTTGAACCTGATTTTGGGATTGTCCCTCAGCAATAGGGTAAGAACTTCCAGGCATAGGAAAAACCTGTGGAGATCCTACAAGCATAAAAATGCACATATGATGAATTTATATAAACAAAGAAACATAAAATGATATAAGTCATCAATGAAGTACCTTGGACCCCACTCATCATTCGGTTTAGTTCATTACTTTCAGATGTTGTTGTCGGGATACCTCCGTCAGAGCTCAAAGCCCTGCTCACTGAGCCATACATGTCTGAAAATTTAAAACAGGTAAGTACATTCTGTACTAGAAACATTATTAGGATTCAAGTGAGGAGCATCACAATGGATCATGAAGATGATTAATAAATAATAATTCAGCAGGGATATGATCACAAAATATCACTCTCTAAATATAAAGATTCAGACAACAAGGGAGACCTGTATATCCAGGCAATGCAGTCAATTCAGGAAAATCTTCATTTTCAATGTTGGACTCTTGGTTTGGCTGATACATGGAGCTGAGTCCAAGGTCTGTTGGGATATCTCCTAAGATATTTTTGTTTTAAAAAAGAGTGGAAGTTAATATTTGATTCAAACTAATGATCATAAAAGAGAATCAAAATGGTTTATTTTATTACTTACCGAATTTGAATGGAGGAGGGTATTTATCATTCATAAAGCTCATAGAGCTTAGGCTGTTCATTCTTTCAACCTGATTTTGGGACTGTCCCCCAGCAATAAAGTAAGAACTAGGAAAAACCTGTGGAAATCCTGCAAGCATAAAAATGCACATATAATGAAATATATATAAACAAACAACATAAAATGATATAAGTCATCAATAAAGTACCTTGGACCCCACTCATCATTCGGTTTTGTTCAGTACTTACAGATCTTGTTGTTTGGGTACCTCCACTAGAGCTCAAAGCCCTGCTCACAGAGCCTCCACCAGCCATAACGCTAGGTGCTTTGTAGCTGGCTGTTACCAAAGCTGGAGTAGCTCCCAAACCTGACACTGTAAAAAAATAATTACCAATGGTGAAAAAGAATATACAATCACCAAACCTATTATAAAATCCACCAAAAAGAACAATATTTACCAATGCTCGGTGCTTGGGAGCTGGCAGTTACCAAAGTTGGAGTAGCTCCCAAACCTGACACTGTAAAAAATAATTACCAATGATGAAAAAGAATATACAATCACCAATGCTATTATAAAATCCACCAAAAAGAACAACATTTAAACCTGAGATTCTCGATTTATGAGTAGCATCCGAGTTGACAGCATAAAAGTTTCCTTCATGATCATAAAGGCCCCTAGGAGATCCTACACAAAAGAAAACAACCAAAAATGCATAAGTTCATAAGAAGGAGATTTGGCAAGAGAGAACGTTGGAGAAAAATCTACTCACCAAACCCAAAAGGACCAGCGAAAGAAGAAGTAATCTTTCTTCCTGAACCGTCGGTTGGATTCAAAGTAGAACCGGTGAGTGATGATGACGACTGTGAATATCATTGTGAGTTAAAAACACTAGTCAGAGGAATGACAAAGAGTATAAACTGTAGAAAAAGTTACATTGACAAATACTGAAACTTAATAGGGATAATGAGGAATGATAAGAGGTAGTACGTACATTAGGAACACTTGACATTTTGCAAATATTATAATTTGATCAGGAAACCCTTCAGTAGTGACCTGAAACGAAGGATTAAAGATGGTGAGGCATTCACACAATATCTACACAGATGAATCAAAGAAGCCATACATTTTTCAACCCTAATCAAAACCTCCACATGGATTTAACATTGTTAATGGCATGAAACATATAAACGGTAGTAAATTGAATGCTGAAGCCATACATTTCAAGCCTAAGGAATTAACATTCTTAATGACATGAACTATATTAACAGTGGAATTGAATGCATCTGAAGCCATATATCTCAATTTAATCCCACAATTAAATAACACATAACTATATAGAGTAGAACTTTAAAGCATCTGATCCACACATTTCCACCCTAATGAAAATCTCATTCATGGATTGAACATTCTTAACGACATGAACCACAAAAAAATAAATTGAACTGGATGATCAAAAGCCATACAATTCAATCATACTCAAAACACAGAACTATAAACAGTAAAGTCATACATATCAATATAATCCCTATCAAAACCTCTTCATGAACTCAACAATCATATTAACGATTCTATAGAAACATCAATCATTCCAACATCGAAAAAGAACAAAACCACTAGAGATGAGCACTAAGATTTGTAATAACGAATATAACATGTTCTATAATATGTGTATAGAGGATGAAAGAAATAACCTTATTCCAGAAGGTCGACGATAATCGGACAAGACCAACCCTTCCTTTCAGACAATCCGAAATTGGAAGCCATGCGGAGCTATTTGAACTGAATTTTCTGTCCCTATATGGTAATGTTGTTTTAAGGTCCACTTAGTCAACATACATTTTTGACATATTTGGGAAAATATCTATCTTCTATCTAATATTTATTTGTGTTATTTTATTTTTTTGGTAAAATATGCTATTTCATATTTACAACCAGTTTTTTTAAACCGACCCAAATCCGCGGTCGAACCATAAACCTAATCTGGTATGTAATCCGGTTTAGTTTTTTTTTTAAAAACCATTATTTAAAAGTTCGGTAAATCCCACAAAAACCGGTAAATCATCCGTTGACCTACTGGTTAAACCAATACATAATTTAATTATCTTTTTCTTGGATCTTTTAGTTACATTATTAAAATATGTTCTATATTCTAAAAAACAATTTAGGTATTTAGTTCTTTTAAAAAATAAAATGTCATAGGATCATGTAGATTATGAATCTATTAACAGAATTAGTTGATGTAACTTGGTACTGTTTTATTTTGTTACCGATAATCGATTACAATTTTATATTTTACTTTTGCTTTATTATGAATTCAAATTTTAATTTTATGATTCGTATTAGATATTTATATACTTAGAATTTTAAGTCTTGATATATATATATTCATAACTCTTAACTTGTTAAAAAAAATTGTTAAATGGTCTAATTAATTTATAACTCACGGTTCCCGCATGGTCGACCCGATAACCCAGTGACTCGGTAAGTTGTCCGGTTTGGTTTCAGAACACTGTTTATAACCAACCATACATTGCATGTTTTTACTCAAGTGGAGACGTCTCCCTTTGTAAATGCCATTTCTAATATATGATAGATTATACTTCCATATATACATGATATATACTTCCATATTTATATATATATATATATATATTTTATCTAACAGCTGTATTTTGTCATTAAAATTCAATTTAGCAAATTTGGAAGGTAATCTTCTTTTCTCACACTATTCTTCTTTCCAGATTTGAAATAATATTTTCTTCTTATTTTTCTTTAACCAACAATATCTACCCACGTGTACAAATGGAATGGCAGAGCGTAATTCCATTTGGTCGACATGGCAACGTGACGTGGTAAAGCCTATGGGCCCATCTTCCTTCAAACAAAATATTCAGAGCCCAAATATTCCCTTAGCTACACTTAAGAAAAGCTTACTGAAATCAACACGGGCCGAAATGCAAAGATTAATGTTTCAACCTCATCATTAAATCGGAGTGCTGTGTATTAGTAAAACACAATTTGGCTATTCTGTAGAATAAACGTGATGGGTGATTTGATTTTCGGTAGGAGTAACTCAGATCATAGACAACTCAAACTTTACTTGAACGGTTCAAGATTCTATACTTACATCAACCAACACCTTGTGCAGTAATGAAACAACACACAGATCAGAGTTATCCTTTGCATTGCAAACGCTTCAAAATCAAATGTATTTATCAAAAAAGACACTTGAAAAAATAAACTCAAAAGGTTTGTTGGCTAACTACTAATTTAAATTAGTGAATCTCAGGTATGAAAGTTAAAAGTTAAAACTTAATTTTGGATTAAACATTCATTTAAAAAAAACTCATTAGCATAAGATTGCTAAAAGATTTAGCTACAATAACAAAGACATAAGCTAACGAAACAGATAACACTAATCCCATCGTCTCCTAACCGCCGAATCCGTAGAGAGTACGTCCTTGCCTCTTCAAAGCATACACCACATCCATAGCAGTAACAGTCTTCCTCCTAGCGTGCTCAGTGTAAGTCACAGCGTCACGGATGACATTCTCGAGGAAGATCTTGAGCACTCCTCTCGTCTCTTCGTAGATCAAACCGCTAATACGCTTGACACCTCCTCTACGAGCGAGACGACGAATCGCAGGCTTGGTGATTCCTTGGATGTTGTCTCTAAGCACTTTCCTGTGTCTCTTCGCTCCTCCTTTTCCTAATCCCTTTCCTCCCTTTCCTCTTCCTGACATCGTGTTTCTGTAGATCTGAAGGAATAAAAATAGAATCAATTCATCAGTGATTAGACTCAATTATTAACAATCGAAATTGATTATATAATCGACATGAAGAAGAAGAAGACGATACCTGTTAAATTGATCGGAGACGGAGATTACAGAAAATGAGATTTGACGAAGTTACATAACTGTTTATATAATCAGAGACGATCCGCGTGCTTTCAATTACATCCGTCGATTGTTTGATCGGACGGCTATTATTTCGTTAAACTAATAGACGGATCGATGACGTGAAGTTCTTTTTTTTTTTTTTGCAAATGGAGAGAGAACGTTAACTACCCTGACCTTATTGGGCCCGTTAATATGACCTATTTTCTGTATTAGGCCCGTTAACTACCCACAGACTCATTTTGATCCTACTCTGCACCAGTTTTGTTGCCAAAGAAGCAAAGATCTAAATTTCGTTGTATTGAGCTTTAGTTTAATCTGAAGTGGTGAATGTGAGAACAAAGGTTTTAGCAATTGCAGTAATATTTTATTTAGCTAATTTCATTTTAACAAGTGCTGTAACAACAACCAAAAACTGAAATAAAGAAGAAGAAAAAACAGAGTATTATCCACCATGAAACAGCTTAAGCTACAACAAACAGTATCAGTAACCCTAAAAACAGACTTCTAGAAGATCACCATCATCACAACAAACTCAAGAATCACATCAGCAAGAACTAAGCCAGTGAAAGAGTCTCACAGTGAAGAGCTTTTTCTCCGGTGATCAAGAGTCCTTAACCAACGAGTGACTTCTTTGCTTTCTTCACCGATTTGGACTTGTTAATATCTTTCTCCATCTTCTCTTTTCTACCTTTATTCTTCTTCTTCTTCTTCTCTTTAGCCTTTGTCTCTTCTCGTTTACCAACCTCAGGCTTAGCGGTTGCGTTGTGCGACTGCGTTGCGTTGTGATGAATAGTCAAAGTATGGTTTGCAGTTGCTGGAGAGACGGCAGAGGAAGCAAGAACCGCCAAACTCACATGAGACTCGTTCCTCACGGCCATGGATTTCTCGAGGAGACGCACTGACATTATCTCTCCACTCTCCTCGTTCAAGCTCACTACGAAAAATCACCATCAGATCTCAACTTTCTTGACACGTTTTCTCGAGAAAGATTTGATGGAAAAAAAGGAACTAACTAACCTGAGTGGGAGAAGAACCAGAGTGTGAAGAAACAGAGGAAGATGATCACCGGAATCGCGTGGATCCAGTACTCCGACACCGGAAAAACTCCTCTCCTCGTGTTCATCATCCTCCGGCCACCGTGAGAAGAGGTGATCGGGAGCTGAGAGAAGGATCTTTCCGTCATTGTTGTGTTTTCTCGCAGCTTTCTTTCCAAGAATCGTCTCACTATTGAGTATTGAGTAGAAACAGAGGAACGCTAAAGCAATGAGAAGAGATTTATGAAGCTTTTCTTCGATAAGGTTCGTTATATAACGGTTTTTTCTAAACGGCTTTGCGCGGGAAAAATCGCATCACGTGATGTCAGGTAAGTTGCATCATCATCAACACCATCATCATGGTTTTTAATCTGAACACATGTATATTTTACACGTGTATATGTTACAAAAAAAATATACTTAATATACACAAACATGATTTTTGTTTAATGTCTCATGACAAAATACATTTGTTGTAGTTCTACATTCACAAGAGAAGTTAAAAATGTGACTACTGATTTATATATTGTATATAACCATCCATTTTCTTGGTGAAGTCAAAGAAAAACTAGATTTGGTTTTGTTTTTTTTTTACCACTCTCTTCCCTATGAAAGCCTTCAAATTATGTTTCCTTGAGGAGGAGGTCTGGTAGTATCCCCTCATCATCATCTCTATCTCTGTGAAAAGAATCAGGACCATCATCATGGACTAATCTGAAAATATATATGAATATACAAAGGTGTTTGTTTATTGTTTAGATATGTCTATATGTCCCAAAAACAAAATGGTTTGTAACAGAAAAAGAAGCATGCTACACATACAACAGAGGCTGAGTCAAAGATGTACACCCACGAATAGATGTTAAAAATGTGTCTGTTTTTATATCCAAGCCAAAAAAAAAAAAAACTAGATTTCACATTTTTACCACTCTCTTCCCTATGAAGACACTTCAGATTCTGCTTCCTTGAGTAGGTCTGGTCTTTTCTCTTCATCATCTCTATATCTGTGAAAAGAAGCGTTCTTCCTCCTGCTGCTGCTGCTAGGACTATTCGGATCATACTTAGAAGAAGCTAAGAAGTTGAGAGCCAAGACTACGTCTGATACAACAGGCCTCATGTTTGGCTGCTCTTGAACGCACATTGCTGCAATTGCAAGTGCTTGGTAGAGTCCTCTAACAGGGTATTGTCCCTGAAGCAATGGATCAACCATTTTCGGGAAGTTCCTCCTGTCTTTGAACAATGGTCGTGCCTGAAAGAAAGTACAAAATGAGTGTTGTTGTCTCAGCAACGATCATTGATAGACACTGTTAACAGACAGAAGAACATACCCATCCGACCAAATTTTGATCTTTACGCTCCTTTGTACCATCAATTGCTTTCCTTCCAGTGATAAGCTCAAGAAGAACTACTCCAAAACTGTATATATCGGATTTAAACGTGAGCTGACCCGTCATAGCATAGTCAGGAGCACAGTATCCGTAAGTTCCCATAACCCTTGTGGAGACATGAGTATTATCCCCGCTCGGTCCAACTTTAGCCAACCCAAAGTCTGATAGCTTTGGTTGATAGTCTTCACCAAGCAAGATGTTTGAGCCTTTGAGATCCCGGTAGATCACAGGAGGGTTCATTCTATCATGCAGATACTCTAACCCTCTTGCTGCACCAGCTGCTATCTTCATCCGAGTGTTCCAATCAAGTGGTTTTTTACCAGATGGGAGATCTGCGAACATTAAGAAACAACATTGAGAGTGGATAGTTGAATGAACACAACACAAAGGCAAAGGATAGGCTTTTGCCGGTTAGGGATTGACCCGTTCCTTGGTTGAATCCTGTCCCACACAATCAAACCCTCAATCCACAGAGAGTTGATAACAAACCATGACCCTTATTGTATACATATTAAAGAGAGAAAGGGAGCAACAAAGTTGAGTTAAGAACATACCATGTAAGTGATCCTCAAGAGATCCCTGCGGCATGAACTCGTAGACCAAAAGTCTCTGATCACCCTCAGCGCAAAACCCAATAAGCTTCACAAGATTAGGATGGTCAGCAAGACTTAACGTCAACACCTCAACAGCAAACTCCCTGATTCCTTGAGCACCATTACGGTCAAGTTGCTTAATAGCAACAACCTAACCACACAAAAAAAAATCCACCATACTCTTCAAAAAACACAATCACACCCCAACTTGTTCAAAAAGATAGAGACTTTCCCTTACACTACCTGATCAAGTTTCTCAATAGTCCCCTTGAAAACTTTACCAAAACCACCTTCACCAAGAAAACAATCAGACCTAAAGTTCCCTGTAGCAACCTTAAGCTCTTCAAAAGTAAACGTCTGTGCTTCCTTCCCAGTAGGTTGGTGGTTTAAATTCAATCCCTTCACATCAAGAGCTAACTGATCCACCTTCCCATCTCCATATGGACTGACTTTTGTGGAATCTAACAACACATGGAAAGAGTATTAACATCATTAAACTCAACCAAATCAATTAAAAGATTCGTTTACCAAATATAAAAATCAAAACTTTGACATTTGTCTCCTCTAAGAGAACAATACAAAACCCTAAAACCCTAAAACATGCATATCGAAATCACTCTTGTACCTGAAGTCTGATCATCTCGCTTATCGCTTGTACCACCGCCTAGGGTTTTCCTGATTTTCGAAGTATCTTTTCGATTCTTCTCCGATCGTTTGCTCGATTTCTTACTGCCTCCGAAGCAACCCATCGGTGGAATCGAGAGAGAACAGAGCAATTCGGTTTGTTAATTTGATCTTCTCTTTCTCGCCGGAAAGTGAGAAACTTTGATGAAAAACCTAACACGGAAGATCGAGAGAAGAGAAATTAAAAATTGAAGAAAGAAAAGGAGAGAGCTAGTGATGACAAACAGAGAAAGCTTCTTCAGAAAAAAAGTTTTTAAGAGAGAAGCGTCAAATGATTATCTGCGGCAAGGTCCATGGTAGATTATAATACGCGTCTAATTAGAGTATGCCACGTCATGACTCAGTAGAAGAATAACTTACGGCTATTACTGAAGCGAATTAAGTAGCGCCACGTAGAATAGTCAACTTTTTTAGTTTAATAGTTTAATCTACCGGCGGTTTGGAACCGGCACCGCCGATCTGACGTGGCGAGTGGATAGTGGAGATATGGATTTGGGTGATTGATTAATGTCACTTATTTGATTAATATTTCGATATATATATGGACGACGACGGCCAATTACTCACCGTTTGATTACATTTTTATAAACACACAAAAGATGTCATGGTGGGTCACACGTTTATAACTCCACGCGCTATTTGTTGTCGAACCTTTCCTTTTGTATTGCTTATTTTAAAATAAAAAAAAAAATTCACACATGCGATATATGCTTTTGTTTTATGCATGGTTGCTTCTTCCAACGGTGAGTAACTGCGGCGCGTTTCAGCTACTGGTGTGCTGGCTAGATCTTTTACGAGAAACCATTAAAGCCATAATCAAAGTGAACAGCGCCACGTGTAAACGATATCAATGTTACATGGTAACGTAGCTGACTGATTAATCACATTCACATTTTATTTCTTTTACCTACAAGTCTACGACAAGGCTTAGTTAGGTTACAACTACTCCCCAGTCCCCCTGTAAAAATATTAAAATTACGCTAAAACCTTCTAGACCTTTACGACTTTAAATAGACATTCTTTTGCTGGCAAATGAACGTAAAAGCATGTCGCTTACCAAAAAAAATTGTAAAGCATGTATTATTGTCATATTGTGATCCTCCATACAAACTAGTATTTTTATATTGTTGATTAACGTTGATATTTCATTTTTTTTAATCTTCGATGCCCCAACTGTGTTACCATATTAGTCTTCCGTGCTTTACCTAACTTTCAAATTCTGTATAACCTTCTTCCGTGAAAAAATAATAAAACCAAAATTTGACAACATTACAGAGTAAGAACTTGCGGAAAAAGAAAACAACACTCAAAACAAAACGTATGGGTATAATTTGATGATTTTAAGTCTTTAACTAATTACATATATATACGTACACAAAACACCATTGATAACTTGATACGACAACAACGTAGATACGTTTTGTTAATCTACGTATACTTTTTTTTTGTCAAACAATCTACGTATACTTAAAACGTAACGATATGAGATATTCAGTCTACCTGTTTGTAATTGTATTGGTCCAGCATATAAAGCTCTACTCGATTCGCTTTTTATTAAAAAACTGGATTGCAAAAAATATCTTAGATTTTAATCAACGTTGGAGTGATTATAAGTTTATACTTTTAGTTTTTATTTACTTCGATCTAGTTGCTTCCTACATTTGTCTGATACATTAGAGAAGATAAGTTCAATTATAATTCACCTTGACATTTCAGATTATTTAATTTAGAAAGGAACGTATAATCTATACAAATGTATAAGTTCTACAGAGATAATGCTTATTAATTATTTGTAACCAGCATTCGCAAGACTAAGACGTGTTTGGATTTTTGTACCAACACGGTTTCATTTAGGACGTTTTCACGTTTATTCATAAAACATATATATGGACATATGAAATGATGTTTGACTTGCTTGGTCCAATTTCAATTTGTATATTATAATCACAAATCACCAAATAGTATTCACAGCTAGAACATTACTCTCCGGCATAGATGGGCATATAATATATAAAAAACTGAGCTAGTTGCATGATAAATAAAGTTTGTTGAACTATATATTATATATGCAATTGAAGTTGTAGAATATTGCAGAAATTTTCATTAGATATTCCCCTTTAACCTTTTAATTTCTTTCATTTTATGAGGTTCCATCCCTCACTCGAATTAAAAATAGTGCAATCAGTGGTAGCGAATGTAGTGAAAAGCAACACGACTATTAAATGATCAGAAGATACCAAATCTGTAAGTTTTCAAAAATAGCTAATGCGTATAAGATTAGTAGTCACAAAAATGTGTCGTTATTTTGGGATATTTGTAGGAATTTGGTGAAAGTAGATCGATTAGGCTGATTATGGTCGATTTAGTTTGAGCTATTATAGATTTGCTGGTATGAAACTATTTGCAGATATATTCTACTGTTATGTATACCGAGTATAAGAGTATGTTATACCTAACATATCTCTATAATATTATTTGAGAAGTCACTTTCTTAGGTGTCGCGCTCACGTTAACTCTCACGCTGGTTGATTACTATGATACCCCTAATGAATTAAAAATACAATTAAATATTATTTCCTTTTTAAAAATTTCCAAATAATAATATAAAATAAAAAGGAAACATTTATAAAATTTACAAAACTATTTAAAAACGAAAATATAAGTATATATAATATGGTTTAATAAAAAAAGAAAGTTCACAAAATAGTAATATTTAATTTAAATATATCTCTATAATATTATTTGAGAAATCAGTTTCATACGTGTCGCGCTCACGTTAAATCTCACGATGGTTAATTACATAGATACTCTTAATAAACTAAAATATTAAATAAGAATGATATTAATAATGTATTTCCTTTTCTCATAATAAGATTTTACTTAATTTTTTAATTTATGTTTACTTTTTAAACACACATATACAAAAAAAGAAATATTTCTGAAATAAAAATGTTTATATATAAACGAAATTAAATATTTTTTTCGAAATTTTCATAAAACAACATTTTTAGTGTTTATTTAAGAGATATTAAAAAATAAAATATTTTTTTTTAACACAAATAAATATTTTGATTAAATAATTTCAAATTTTTTTAAATAGCGTAGCACTATACACTATTAATGAAATTAAAATATAATATTTTATCATTATTAAAAATTCTTTTTAATATATAGTTTGCTTTTTAATTTTATGTTTTTTATGTTTATGGAACTTAATAGATAAATAATCAAAATACTCAAGTAAATCTAAGTTCGCATTTTTAAGATTGTTTAAAAAAATTTAATTTACCTTTTAAGAAATCTAAGGTATAAAATAATTTAGAATTTATAAATATTTAATTATTGTAAATATTAATATGTTCTCATGAAATTTCAAATGTTTATCTTTATACTCATATTTATGATTGTAAATTCTTATTGATCGTCACTTTATTTTTTAATATATCTTAAAAATCAACATATGTCCAATTATTAAAAATCTTATAAAATACTTGCATTAAGCGGTAAATAAAACTATTTTGATTTGATTTAATTAGAAAAATATATATAACTCAATATACTCACAAAACGAGTAATGGAACGAATCTAACTTATATCAAAAATAAAAGATCTAACTACAACAAGAACGTATAATTTTAGAATAATTATTTATTTATACATATAGATTACAAGATGACTCAAAAATATCAATATAGAAAAAAAAATTATAACCAACTGTTATAATTCAGTTTTTTTGTAAAATTTATATATATATGAATGAGACTTCAGAATATTATCGTTATATTCATTTATATGATTTTGTGTCAAAATTTCTGTTTATTTTAAATTTCATTATAAGCATAATATATATTAAGTTATACATAATCTTATTAAAATCTATTTACATATATAAGACGATAACCAATCTAAATACAATAATAATTAAAGTTTTAGTATATTTAGAAGGAAAATATTATAGTTGAATTCAGAAAATAGATGCAATCTAAAATACACAAGTGCAACCAAATCGAATATTGACCAAAAAAAAGTAACCTAACCGATTAAATATAACATCTACTAAATCATATGTCTAATTAAAATAATTTAATATTATTAATATAAGTTATACATATAAATTATAAATTAATTTATAATTAAAAGTAAATATCTATGTAAATTAATAAATTATAATATATTTACTTGATAAATATTCATACCCGTGCATGAGCACGGGAAAATCACCTAGTCTATCATTAAATATCAAGATTCCTCCATCATCTTCAATGTAAGAACTGGGACCAAGAAAAGTTTTGGGTATATAAAAACAAAATAGAAACAAGTTTTAAGACTATTCAATCCATTCAACTTTCAGCCACATGCCTCTCAAGATCTCTTAGCCCATCCTCAGCCAACTTTACGGTTGTCCAAGAACCAAAATGAAAATAGAAGTGTCTATTACAACTCAGAAAAGCATCTAGCAAATCTGTATTCTCAATCCAATTTTTCCATTTTCTAACTCTTCTCAACATGAAAACTATTAGAACCTATTAAATCGTGGTTGTTCTATTTCGGTTTACTAACTTCTTAACTTTTTTTTTTGTTAATTTCTCTATTTTTTCACTACAAAAATAGAGTACTATTGAAATAGATGCAACTATATATAAAGTTACTCTATTTTGAATAAGAAAAAAGAGTGAACCATTAGAAATAGTCTTAACATATTATAAACCAAATCCCATTAAAAATAAAATCATTGATAAAAATAAAATTTGTCTAGACCAAAGCTGCAGAAAAAAAAATCAAAAATTTAGTTCATTTCCAATTTTTCTAAACCATAGTAAACAGTATAGGACCGGCCCATAATCACACATTTTACAACCAATCAGGGACGAAGAGTCAGTAACTACTTATGCGTGAGACGCGTTCACACCTGGGACGAGTGAATTACGATATCTCATTGGCAACAAAATCCAAATCTCGCCTTTTCTAAGGTGGGGCCCGTCACAGGAAAGCATGATTCGTCCAATAGAAACTCCCCAAGTATACACTCATTATTTTTTTAACAATTATATGCGACGAATCGTTACCGTCAATTACGTCTAGCAAATATTAACCACACGATTTTCGTCATCTGACGGCATCTAATAGAATGTTCTCTTCCCCTAACAGATCCTCTATATATTTGGACTCTCTAAAAACAACCACTCGTGTTCACCTCGTACCAGCCACACTCGCTTCCTCAGGTGTTATCCTCTCTAGAAAAAAGGTAAAATAGAAACAATCTTTTCGTTTTCTATTAACGAATCCGGATCATCGTTATGCATGGCTTTGATCTGAGTAAAATGATGTGTTTAACATGGTAGATCTCGCTGTTTGTTACGTAAATCATCTTGTTTTGTTACATCTCATTTGCATTATGTGGTTCGATCTCACTGTGTTTCGTTACTAAGTTTCTCAATCGGTTCAAGTTTTGACGGTTTAGGCTTCCTTGGCTCACTCTCGAGGTCTACGTTTGATATCTGGCTTGCTATTTACAAGTGTAGCTTAAACGAGTTATTTATTTATTTAAAAAAAAAAACAGTTAGTTATTTATCCTCTACGTGATCTGTTTTTCTTGTGATTCGAATTTGGGTTTGCATTCGTAGAAGATGTTTTAAAGGCTTGCTGTTTACGCTTCTCAGTTTGTTATTAATACGTGCCAAAATAGGGTTTTCGATGAATGATGCATGTTTTAGGATGTGATCTGTACGTAAATTTACTACTTGAACTCATGTATGTGTGCAATGTTTACAGAATTTTGAGCAAAGATGACGAAGAACTACCCAAAAGTGAGCGAAGACTACAAGAAGGCTATTGAGAAGTGCAGGAGGAAGCTTAGAGGCTTGATCGCTGAGAAGCATTGTGCACCTATCATGGTCCGCCTCGCGTAAGTAAAAAACTAACAATAACAGCGTTTGGTTTCTGAAAATTTCTATGATGTGCTGATGATTCTGGTTTGGTTTAACTGTAGATGGCACTCTGCTGGAACATTCGATTGTGTCTCAAAGACTGGAGGTCCCTTTGGGACAATGAGGTTTAAGGATGAGCAAGGTTATGAAGCCAACAGTGGTATCCATATTGCTCTTGGGTTGTTGGAGCCCATCAGGGTTCAGTTCCCTACCATTTCCTTTGCTGATTTCCATCAGGTACATGTTTTAAAAGAAAATAAAAAACTCTTTTGTTAGTGGTGATTATTATATCTCAATGATTTGGATTCTAACTCACAATGTTCTTTGTTCAGCTTGCTGGTGTTGTGGGTGTTGAAGTCACTGGTGGACCTGAAATTCCTTTCCACCCTGGAAGAGAGGTTAGTAGGCATAAAACTTGAAATCAAAATTGGAGGAAACTAATATTGTGGATTGTGTATTATTTACATTATATCTTGATTCTAGGACAAGCCCCAGCCACCTCCAGACGGTCGTCTTCCTGATGCTACAAAGGGTTGTAACCACTTGAGAGACGTCTTTTCAAAGCAGATGGGTTTATCTGACCATGACATTGTCGCTTTATCTGGTGCCCACACTCTGGTTCGTTATATCACTCCCAACTGCTTTAACACTTTGTTTTTGTTGTTGGCTCTATTCAACAAATTGATGAATGGTTGCAAATTATGATAACACAGGGGAAATGTCACAAGGATAGGTCTGGCTTCGAAGGTCCTTGGACTTCAAACCCTCTTATTTTCGACAACTCTTACTTCAAGTAACTGTCCTAATTAACTCTTAGGCTGTGATTTAATGTTGATATGCTATCAACTGATAATATATATATGTGACCAGGGAACTCTTGACTGGTGAGAAGGAAGGTCTTATTCAACTTGTGTCTGACAAGGCACTATTGGAAGATCCCACATTCCGTTCACTGGTTGAGAAATACGCAGCTGTATGCATTTTTTTCTTTCTAAACCTGACTTTTTCTTGAGTTGGTATAGAGAACTAACGTTGCTTTGCTTTGTCACAATTTAAAACAGGATGAAGATGCCTTTTTCGCTGATTACGCTGAGGCTCACTTGAAGCTTTCTGAGCTAGGGTACTTAAATAGTCTGAAATCTCTAAAGCTACAATTGACTTGTATTTATCATTCGAGTTTGAATCTTTTGTTTGGTTGCAGGTTTGCTGATGCTTGAGCTGTGACATGTGATGGTGTGTGTCTCCAAGACTCTTGACGATTCAGCATTGCATTTTGAACTTTGTCATTTGATTGCTATAATGTACTCTCGGATTTGTGATTTTGACGTTGTTACGTTTTGCTTTTGCTGGTTAGACATTCTAATAAATCAATTTTTGCTCAGTTTTAAACAAAAGCCTTGGCACACTAACATTCAGACAATCATATCCATATGTCCAGGGCCGGCTCAACCGTTTTCCAGGCCCGAGGCAAAAGCAAAATATTAAATTTTAATATTTAGTTTTATTAAAAAATATATTTTTTAATTTTTTTCTCACTCATCTTTATAAATTCTGGAATAAAAATATATTATATACACATAAAATATTTTAGGACTCTTTTCAATTAAATTTAGTGAATATTTTTAAAATTTTTATATAAAAATCTATAAATATAAAAAATATTAGGTCCCATAATTGAGAAGATATACGAATTTGAATCCAAGTCGGTCGCACTGTTTGTCCTCCTCTTCTCAGCCGGTCCTGCATATGTCATTGGGTCTATTGTGCATATGTCATTGGGTCTATTGTAAGGACATCATTATTGCAAGGTTAAAAAACTTTCGGCTTTGGTTTCCATAAAGTATTTAACCTATAATTATATACGCTTATACAATATATACACATATACATATGTGTATTAAGGACTTTACCTTAAGAACTTTGCAATAATCATGCCCTAAACTTTTGGTTCGTCTGCTAAAATAATAATTTTGGGGTAAATTGAATCTTTTATAAAGTATGTAGAAATTAGCGAAATAAAAAATAAAAACCAGGACCGACCACAAATAAAAGAGTAATGGCGGCGGGGGAGGGGTACGATTGTCATTTCAATATGATATGATGCTAAACCCTAACAATTATCGCTTATCTCATCACCATTATAAAAAAGGCTCGTCACCCTCCACTCCTCTTCCCTAGCTCGATCTTTCTTCAACCCTAGCCGCAATACTTTGCCTGAGGTAAAGCTTATCTCCCCGATCGTTTACGTTCTCTTATTATTTCGATCTTTCTGCTGATTACTGTTCATCGTTCTCGTCTGCTTGTTTTTCATTTCTTATAGTTTTGATTCTTCTTTAGATGCATCTCTTTGATTTGTGCTATGTGTTCATAGATACTTCTGAATCTCCGATCCACAGATTAGGTTTGATATAATTGATTAAATCAACATTATACAGTGAAATCGAATCATAACAGCTGATTTTAAACTAATTTCGCGATCTTCGTATCATCTGTGTGACTAAACTGATTGTGTTTTTTCATGATTTATGATTGGATAATGAATGAAGTGATTGGTATACAGCATTACTAAATCCTGAGAAACTCTTGGATTAGTTGCTGTAGATCTTGATTTTGATGAATAATAGCTTGCTTAGCTCAGTGGATAGAGCACCACGAACTCTCTTTGTGGTAGAAATCGGTTCGATTCCGATAGCAGCTTTTTATAGTTAGCTTTCTTGTGAAACATATGAATATTTGTTGTTATTCATATGATTATATGTTTTCTTTGTTGTGAAAGATGATATTTATATTAATAGTATGAGTTACTGCTCTGTTAATTCATGTCTACTGTTTTGATCGTTTCTGTATGACTTAATCTGCAGATTTACTTGACAAGTAGCCATGGGTAAAGAGAAGTTTCACATCAACATTGTGGTCATTGGCCACGTCGACTCTGGGAAGTCAACCACCACTGGTCATTTGATCTACAAGCTTGGAGGTATTGACAAGCGTGTCATTGAGAGGTTCGAGAAGGAGGCTGCTGAGATGAACAAGAGGTCCTTCAAGTACGCATGGGTGTTGGACAAACTTAAGGCTGAGCGTGAGCGTGGTATCACCATTGACATTGCTCTTTGGAAGTTTGAAACCACCAAGTACTACTGCACAGTCATTGATGCTCCTGGTCATCGTGATTTCATCAAGAACATGATTACTGGTACCTCCCAGGCTGATTGTGCTGTCTTGATTATTGACTCCACCACTGGTGGGTTTGAAGCTGGTATCTCCAAGGATGGTCAGACCCGTGAGCATGCCCTTCTTGCTTTCACCCTTGGTGTCAAACAGATGATTTGCTGCTGTAACAAGGTGAGCTATATATTCATTACTTAATTTGATGATACTGTTATTGTTTGATGCTAACAGATTCTATTTTTGTATTTGTTTCCAGATGGATGCCACAACCCCCAAGTACTCCAAGGCTAGGTACGATGAGATCATCAAGGAGGTGTCTTCCTACTTGAAGAAGGTTGGGTACAACCCTGACAAAATCCCCTTCGTCCCAATCTCTGGTTTCGAGGGTGACAACATGATTGAGAGGTCCACCAACCTTGACTGGTACAAGGGACCAACCCTCCTTGAGGCTCTTGACCAGATCAACGAGCCCAAGAGACCCTCAGACAAGCCCCTCCGTCTACCACTTCAGGATGTCTACAAGATCGGTGGTATTGGAACGGTGCCAGTGGGTCGTGTTGAGACTGGTATGCTGAAGCCTGGTATGGTTGTGACCTTTGCTCCTTCAGGGTTGACCACTGAGGTTAAGTCTGTTGAGATGCACCACGAGTCTCTTGTGGAGGCACTTCCAGGTGACAACGTGGGATTCAATGTTAAGAATGTTGCTGTCAAGGATCTTAAGCGTGGGTATGTTGCATCCAACTCCAAGGATGACCCTGCCAAGGGAGCTGCTAACTTCACTTCTCAGGTCATCATCATGAACCACCCTGGCCAGATCGGTAATGGTTACGCCCCAGTTCTTGATTGCCACACCTCTCACATTGCAGTCAAGTTCTCTGAGATCCTCACCAAGATTGACAGGCGTTCTGGTAAGGAGATCGAGAAGGAGCCCAAGTTTTTGAAGAATGGTGATGCTGGTATGGTGAAGATGACTCCAACCAAGCCCATGGTTGTTGAGACATTCTCTGAGTACCCACCATTGGGTCGTTTCGCTGTCAGGGACATGAGGCAGACCGTTGCCGTCGGTGTTATCAAGAGTGTGGACAAGAAGGACCCAACCGGTGCCAAGGTGACCAAGGCTGCCGTCAAGAAGGGTGCCAAGTGAACTTCATCAAGCGCTCATGAATTAAAAAACTTATTTTGTTTGTTTCTTTTACTTTGGTATGGTGTTACATGTCTGTGTTGCAGCTTCGTCTTTTCTCCGTCAGAACGTAATTCTCGTAATTGGGTTCTTGATCGGAGGTGGCGGAGCTACTTAGCATTCAAGCTCTCTGTTTCTTGCTTATGATTTGTTTTTCTCTGAACCTTTTATGGAGATTCTGTTTTGATATCGTGATGTGCCTTCTATTTTCATTCTGCGAACTGATACTTACTTTACTATGCATGAAGTTGAATGGGTTTAAGTAATGCCATTTCCATATGTGGATTTTAGCCTATGTGAACATTACTGCTCACGCTAAGTCGATATCAGCGTATGCCTTGCCTTCTGAAACCAGTGAGTCAACCGACGCATAGTTTATAATTCTTAACATGGTTTGTAACACATCAAATTCGTGTCCCTTTAATTCCCCACGTAGCCACACATGATACTATTTACTACAGAGAATGGACATGGAAAGTAACATGTGGATTATGACTTATGAGAGAAGTTAACTAAACTCATTGTTTTACATAATTTTAATTTCCCAAAAAATAAAAAAGTACCTATAATTGTTTTTTGGTAGAATGTTAAGATAAACATCTATAAAATTGTTCAAGAAAATTAGCATTGTGGTCATAGATATGGTTGTGGATATAGCCTTATATCTGATATTGAAATTTATTTAATCTAATTAAAAACAGTTATAATCATTCAGTATGAATGGTTGAATGAATATGGTTGGCATTTACACTGTATAGACATTTCGATAACATGGAATAATCCCTTTGAATGTTCCATTATGGAGATGGGCTGACAGTTACATTGACATTCACATTGTATAAGATATTTCATTAATTTATTAACTCATGGACAAGAAACAAACAACCATGCAATAAAAACTAAAAATATTATCCTGTTTCCGGCATAATCCATAGGGATTAGATTAGATAAAAAAGTATGGAGTAATGTTGGACGTATGAGACAGAAGTGGTGTCCGAAAACTGGATCCAGCACGCGTGATGAATGACACGCGTAAGACCCTAACTAACTTTTGACTTCTCTTTAATATCGAACGTGGCCTAGTTCGTCATGTCTTCAATCTCTTGTTCCTTTCTTAAATAGAGAAGTCGAGTTTGGCTTTTCTCTCATAGAGTTTCTTGTCTCGTTGTTATTATCAATGACTATCATAGAAGAACCCATTCTTTCGAGATCAGATCGTATTGATATCATGGTGAGGAAGCTAGAAGAGATGAAAGGAAGCTCGAGCCCATCTACTCCGTCTAGTGGGAGGACTCAGCCGTCGTCACTGGATCTGTCTTCGCCTAGGAGGAGCATAGGGAAGGTTCAATGCCTCCGTTCGATGGAGCAAGTGATGGAAGAGACTGAGAGGAAAGGAAATTTGCTAGAGAGACTAAACAATGTGGAGGATCAAGTTCTTAAGCTGTGTTTGTGGTTTGAGGAAGAGAGAAAGAAAGATGATAAGAAGAAGAAAAAGAAAGGGTTGAGAAAGTTCGTAGATAAAGTTGTTGGATCTTCTTCTCCGACGAAGAGCCATTCAAAGAGTTGGCGTTGCTGAGCCATTTTACTTTGTGTGTATATCTTCCATCATCGAGGAAGTGGTTTTTATTTTCTTTTATTGAAGATTCGTATTAATAGACTGTTTGTTAGTAGATTTTGATGAAATTTTCAAAACAGATGGTTTAATTTATGCATAATGATTTAAGGTCTGATAGTTTGCACTAGTGTCTAGTGCTAATTTTAAGCTCAAACCGGCCTTTAAACCAACAAGAACGAAATAGAATCTTGAATATAATCGATAAATTTACTGTACCTTGAGTTTGAGGCAGTTGTTTTATTTATTACAGTTCTTATCGACAAAAATTACTGGATTATTATTCAGCCCTCGTTGAACATAATTCTCTGCCAACAATATTACGCAAAAGAGCTGACTTTATTTTAAATAAATGTTGATGTTTTTATCACAAGTCACCTGTGCTGGGCGAAACATATACTTTATAACATATCCATAACATGTTCTAGATGACTAACCACCGGTCCACCACCACCACAAATCATCAGATACGACCAAGAAAAATCACGAGCTTAATTTACATACAACTCAAACTTGTCAAATTTAATTAAAGACTCCTTTTGTTTAATCAAATAACACACAACACTCAGTCAAGTTCCTTTATTAATAAAGTTAAGAGATTAAAGAAAAAAACAATTAATAACACGCATCGTTTTATTACTTTTCCCCTTTCTTTATGCAAAATTTCAAAACTCATCTGTCTTGTCTTCTCATCAGGGTAGGGTGGGATCTCTCTCAATCAATCTTCTGTTTGACTGATCGGTTTAGGGTTTTTCCATCTCCCCCACATACGACATCGCCGCGACAGAAGCTGAGGTTTCTAGGTCCGGATCTAGCCATATTCTCCCTCCTTCCCTCAGCTACGGCGAAGCTTTTCACCTCCTCACTTCTTCCTCGCAGCTATGTTTTGGAAGCTCACATCTCTCTCTGCATCGTCTCCCGTGAGCTAACAGATAATTTTTTTTTTGTTCATATCCAGTTGATTTTATGTTAATTCTCTGTGGTTCGTTACTTTGAACGGTTCTTTGTTTTACGTTGAATCTTGTCTGAAGAAAAAATTATGCAGTTTCTGGTCCGAAATTGGATTTGTTTTGGTGGTTTCGGTTTTGTTGTCTGAATAATTCATATCTCTTTACTGCTGTGACGTGTTCTGTTCTTCTGGGATTGTGTTGTGTATGTCCGTTATATGCTTACAAGTGGGGGACATTAGGAGACGAAATGTTTTAACTCGTTTCTCTGGTTGTTTGTGTTTTTTTTTGTGTATTGATGTTCTTTTATTATTGTTAGGTGGAGACGATATTAGACAAAGAAAACTTCACCTTGGAAGAGCTTCTTGATGAGGAAGAAATTATTCAAGAATGCAAGGCTTTGAATAGCCGACTCATTAATTTGTAAGGCTTTATATTAATTTCCTTATTTTTTCCCCCTCAATAGATACAGATAAACACTATGCTGGATGTGGAAGCTAGTGTCTTCTGTATTTGTGGAGATTTGGTTGGAGAGTCCCGTATTTATCTTGGAAAGTTTCATTGATTTGGTATTTAATGTTTGCAGTCTAAGGGATAAAGCTCAGGTTGAGCAGTTATTGCGTTACATTGTTGAAGAACCTCCAGAGGATGCTGATAGTAAACGTGCTTTCAAGTAAGATATGCTTCCTTGATTTTAACTGGAGTTACCTTGTCCCACCATTTTTTTTTCCTTCTCTGTAGCTAATAATAGTTTCTTCTTCTCTTAGGTATCCATTCGTCTCTTGTGAAATATTTTCATGTGAAATTGATGTTATTCTAAAGACTTTGGTGGAGGACGAAGAGGTATTTTGCTTCTTTCTTCATTTTACCTTCCCGCATACTTTTCATTTTCTGCCTATGTAATATGTTTTATTGTTACTCATTTACCTTTACCTCATTCTGTTGTCTTGTCTTGCAGCTGATGGACTTACTTTTCTCCTTTCTGGAACCAAGTCGTCCTCATAGTGCATTGCTGGCAGGCTATTTCAGCAAGGTTCTCTCTCTTACAATGCATAAGTTTATGTATTAGCCAAACTTTCAGTAGTTCCTTGTTTCTATCCATATGCAATAATTTTTGAAGCTTCGATATACTTCGTACTTGTTTATTTTGGTGTAGGTTGTCATATGCCTTATGGTCAGAAAGACTGCAGCGCTTATGAATTATGTAAAAGTAAGTAAGAACGTTTTGTTAATAAATGGTCATACGCATGAGCTTTATAAATTATTATTAGCTGTAAAAGTATGCACATCTCCGTCAAATCGGGGTCGATGAGCAATAGGTAGGTGGCTGGAAATTTAGATGAGAATTTCGATAAAAGAATATGGAATTTATTTGCCTGGTTACTGGAATATCGGATATGTAAGAGCATTGTAGAGTAAATCTTGACAGATAGATGTAGTGCATTGTATGTAGATAAATAGATGTAGTGCATTGTAAGAAGATAAGACTGACATGACTCTATTCTTCAGTTGAGTTCCTGAAAAATATTATGTCTTGACAACCAAAAATTAGTTGAATTGTTTGTTTTGTGTTGAGGTACCTACACTGGCTACAATTCTTAAAGTAACTTTTGATGATCGCAGGGGCATCAAAATGTTTTCTGCCAGTTGGTTGATTTGATTGGAATAACATCCATCATGGAGGTAATTGTTTTTTCTTAGATGCAGTTCAACTTATTGTGGCTTCAGAGCTCATTTTTTTGCAACAATGTTTTGTGATACTGTCTAGGTTTTGGTTCGCTTGGTGGGGGGTGATGATCACGTTTATCCTAACTTTCTGGATGTGATGCAATGGCTGGTGGATAGCAATTTACTTGAAATGATTGTGGACAAACTTAAACCATCTGTAAGTGGTGAAGAGTTTTTATATGCATCTAAAAGACCAGAAGGCTTTCTGTTTGCTAAATTTAGGATATCTGATTTGATCTTCCTAGTTTCTTTTGTCATATTCCGTCTGATCTGATATATGTAGTTTCTTGCAATCTTTTCCAACTTGAATCAGAATCCTCCAGAGGTTCAGGCAAATGCAGCAGAAACATTATGTGCAATTTCTCGGAATGCACCGTCAGCCTTAGCTTCACAACTCTCTAGCCCTGGGTTTGTAATCTTTTCTTTTGCTAATTGCTTCAATATGTTGTTACAGAATAAATTTCACGTGGCAGAACAACTTGTTCCCTGTTTTTGCAGCTTCGTCTCTAGGATATTTGGTCATGCCCTTGAAGACTCACACTCAAAATCGGCACTAGTTCATTCGCTTTCAGTATGCACGTCTCTGTTAGATCCGAGGAAGTCTGCTACGTCATCATCGATGTTCAATTCTTATAGTGGTCAACATATGTTCGAGTCTCCTGCTCCAGTGTCCCAGGAGACAATTGGTGCCATGCTGCCTAAACTCAGTAAGTTGGATCTTATGATGTAATATCTTCACATGACTAGCAAGATTTGCGATGATTTAGCATCTATTCGCATGTCATGTTTGATTTTCGCTGTTCGCTATAGTGTCTGTCCTTTTTTGGTTTATACTGATTTATAGGAAACTTGTTTCACAGCAATACGATAAATTCTTGGAATACTTTCGTAGTTCTTGTATATGTAGGATTATGTCTCATACACGTATTCTATATAGAGGTTTGCGTATTCAATGGCCTTTAGTGATCAATAAATAATTTCTGCAGGCGACTTGCTTATGCTTCTCACTGTAGCATCTGACAGCACAGTATTGCCTACAACATATGGTGAATTGAAGCCTCCTCTTGGGAAGCATCGTCTAAAGGTCAGATCCAAATATATAGTAACAACAGTGCTTTTCATAATTGTAAAGACTCAATGCTTAGTAAGATAAGACTCACTTTCCCTATTTTTGTTTCAGATTGTGGAGTTTATTGCAGTTCTATTGAGAACTGGAAGTGAAGCTGCACAGAAGGAGTTAGTTAGTTCAGGAACAATTAAAAGAACCCTTGATCTGTTTTTCGAGTAGGCATTTGATAAACTTCAAACCCTTGATCTCAGTCTTGTGTTTTCTACTAGATCTTAACTAATCAAATAAACATATTTAGGTATCCATACAATAACGCTCTGCATCATCAAGTGGAGGGTATAATACTTTCTTGTTTGGAAAACAAGAGCGAATTGATGGTGAACCATATTCTTCGAGAATGCAATGTGATTGGAAAATTTCTAGCTGCAGACAGGGACTCGGATCTCTCGGGTGATAGACAGGTACTACCATTTTCTATGTTTACAATGTTTTAACTGATCATTGATCTACGACGTAGTGTCATGTTAAGGCAGTATCAAGTTAGAGCCATTGATTCAAAGTTCATATTAACTAACAAGTATTCTGTGCCATTTTCGTTTTCTTTTGTGTGAGTTAGCCCACTGTAGCAGCCACTGGGAAAAAGATCCTTCGAGTTGGATATATTGGACATATCACAAGAATATCTAATAAAATTGTTCAGCTGAGTTGCAGCAATGACCAGATAAAGGCATACCTTCAGGTTCGTATTACAGTCATACAACCTCCTGCTATATAGTTTTTTTTTGTCCTCGCACTCTCGGCGCACTTCTCATGCTTGCTGACTAGGCTTTTTTCAATCACAAATATTTAGGAAAACAGCGAATGGAATGAGTGGCAAGGCAGTGTTCTGCAGGAGCGCAACACTGTTGAGAATGTCTACAGATGGGGATGCGGGTACTTTCATTACCTACTCACTGATCATATAGTAACTACTAAAATAGTCAGTTCCTGCTTCATATGCTGATTACTGATGTAAAAAAGTGTGTGTGATCCCTGTCATGAGCTTGTCTTGGGGTTTGGATTTTATATTCTCACTCACTCTTGGTTATAACCCACTGTTAAATGCAGGCGCCCAACTACAGTACAAGATAGGGTAAGAGATAGCGATGAGGAAGACAAGGATTACGATGTTGCTGCTCTGGCTAATAATTTAAGCCAAGCATTTAGGTACCAAACGTATGATAACGGTGACAGTGGAGAGGTAGTGCTCTTTTCTCTCATTTATGAACGATTTTAAATGTTACTGAATCTTATCATCTCTTTATCTTCTTTGGTCAGGACCACATTGCTCTCGACAGAGATGATGATGTAAGTCTTTGCATAATTCTTCGTATCTGCATCTTTTATCAATAACTTTTTTTTTTTTTAAATTGAAACTTATTCATACTATACAGGATGTTTACTTTGATGATGAATCTGCTGAAGTGATAATATCATCCTTAAGACTCGGAGATGACCAAGGAAGGTGAGTTATTTGCATTTTTTTGCTGATAGAATTATAACATTCTCTGTAAAACAATGACTTGAGAGTCTTCCTCATTACTTTGCCGCAGCTTGTTTACGAACTCAGATTGGTTCACATTCCAAGAAGACAGATTCAGCAACACACCAGGTTCCAATACATTAGAGGATACTGAATTGAACAGAACTTTCAATGCCAACACTAGCAGCAGTGACGACGACGAGGTTGTGGTTGGAGTAGAAGACGATGATCTAACCACGAATCCAAAGGATAACGCATTCCAAATGGAGAATCCAATGGGATTCTTCGACTTCAACACGTTGGAGAAAACCGAAGAAGCTTTTGCAGAACAGCCACCCGGATGGGTTGGTTGGGACGAACCATCATCCGATATGCAAGTGAGTGGCACTGGTCTAAACCCTTTCATTGATGATGACGATGATGAGGACAGCAAAAACGTAATGAACCTCGACATACCAAAAACCGAACCTGTGATTCCAAACGGGGAAAGATCAGCACTGTTCGAGAAGGATGTTGAGTTTGTGGGAATTGAAGCAGAAGGGACAGAGAAAGCGATGGAGCAAGCGATGAAAGAAGGGATAGTAGGAGAAGCTGGAGCGATGAAAAGAAACATGGAGATGGTTGAAGATGAGCAGAAGGTGGAGGAAAGTTCAGGAGGAGAGAAAGAGTTCAACGATAACAATTACTGGAAAGTTGATCAAGATGTTGGAGTTTTGGAGTGATTGTTCAGTTTATCTTGTACAGTGTGGTTTTGTATGAGAGTGTTATGTATGAAAAAAACTTGTTTAAGTTGAACTTTGGTGTATTAGTCTCTGAAAAAAACATGTTTCTGTCTTGTTAGGTTTCTGTTGTTGTGTGGTTCTCTCTTCTTCTTTTTGATATATCTAAGTGGTATGCTTCAAATCTGAAGAGTTTAGTACCTTTCTGTGAATAGCGTGTTGTACAAGCATATTGCTAGCAAAATGAAAGAACATAGGATAAGATAAAAACTAAAATAATAAACCTAACATCAAACTAAAACCCTAAAATCTTAAAACAGTCACTGACTACTACTTTTTCTCTATACTGCTCCAGCCCTCTTTGTCTTTATGCTGTGGATATCACTCCATGAATCATGCTAGTATGGAACTGATCACCTTCCTTCCTCCTCATCTCTATGATCTTCCTGTGTGAGTTTGAATGCACAGATGGGATGAAGGTTGGGCTTGAAGCTGGTCTGTACTCTGGAACTAGACGTCCTGATCTGAACCTGACACCGCAAGCGTTGCAGAGTGTCTTTGGCCCATTGGGCCCTTCCCTCCACTGAGGAGTCTCGGTTGTCTCACAATGAGTGCATTTTCTTGCCACTTTAGATGAAATCTTGCGTTTCTTCTTGGCGTGTTGCTCAAAATCATAGTAAGTCCTTGTTCCTGATCCGACCAGAGTTAACTTCTCAGGCTTAATGAGTTCAAACTCGTGAAGGTATTTGAATCTCACTGTTGTGGGGCGTTTACGCCTGCTTCTCATGCCTTTCACTGGGGAAGTCAAAGAAGCGCCGCTGCTTTCAAGAACTGACACTGGGCTTAAAGACTGAAACGTCTTTGAGATTTTGGTATCAGGAACTGATGCTGCACCAGACTGTTTCTGCATCCATGAAACAATATTAGACTTTAATGATTCTTTTTTTATGGATGGTATGATCTATCTACTGCGGTAAAAAAAGGTTTGAACCCCAAAATCATTATCATTATATATAAAATTTAGTTTTTACTCTGACCTATATCTTCATCATGTGTGTTAACCACTGTCTGAGTAAATATATATCAAGTAATATGCATAAGTTAATTATCAAAGCATATGGTTATAAAACCTAAGGCAGAAAAAAAGACCAATATGTTACATATTATCAGCCTAAATAAAATGCAAATCATGATTGTGAGTAACCTATCAAGGAAGAACTCACCAAACCAGGTACTGTCCCCACACGGCTAAGCTTGTTAACGCCACAAGAGGAGGTGAACTCAGAGGGAAAACTTGTAAAGACATCCATGGGAGGAGGCTCGAGGTGTTGAAGTTTGGCTTTCCAATCTTCTACCTCACCAATGGTGGTATCATCATTGTCATCATCAATGTCTTGTAAATCGATAGAGTTGAATAAGTCATCAAGATTTTCTTCAGGTAATAACCAATTCATGCCTAACCTAATGTTTGGAAACAAATACCATAAACACACAAATATAAGTATATCTCCACGTGAAGAAACGAGACAAGACCAAGAGAGAAAGAGGGGACGTATGAACCTTGTGAAGATAGTGTGTGTATATATATAAGGACACTGCAGAGAGAGATAAAAGAGTCGTACGATGTGAGTTTTTGCAATGTCTCGTGTTCTTTTTATATAAGATAATTAAAAACGAAAAATATGGGAAGTGCTTTATCATCTACACATTTCTTAACTTTAAAGAAAAATACGCAATCGATTTTGGTTCTATAAGTGAGGAAAGAAAATATATCTATTAACGCGTTTTTACTTAAAAAAACATTTTAGTAATCAATAAATACAGTTTTTGTTTTTCTTTTCCTTAAAACGAACCAATAAATACATTAACCGAAACATACTAGCTGTACAGAATTTAATTCACACGTTGTACTTAATACCAAGTAGTTCTGTACCTTATCTTCTGCAGTAATGGTATATTTTACGAACATTCGAATATAATTAAATAAGGTAATTAAGTAAATGATAATTACCAGTACTCAAATGTATATCGACAAGAATGGATGAGGATGAATTTATGTCGGTGTGAGAAAATTAAAATAATTACCAGTTTAAACATCTTTAAATAAGTATATTTTTTTAACTTTGTTAAATAAGTAATGTTTGACAAAAAAAGAAAAAGAAGAAGTTGGTAATAGTCAGATGAAGAAAAAGACAAAATGGCATAGAATAGCACATGCAAAATCAAGTGACGAAAACCTTGAAGAAGAAGGTTGATGGTTCTTTCGTAGATCCGATCTATTATTATTCTTATGACTAATAATGATGTTAATTTAATTAGCAAACAAATAAAGTTGGATGAGGTTTTATTATTTATGTTTTTAATAGATCCCTAATATAAACTGTGAAAGTGAAATGGAGGAGATCACCGAAAATTTTGATAATTATTTTGGCGTTTCCTCATGGGAAAGTGGGTCCCTTTTCTTCCATCTTCCACATGATATGTTCTCTCATCATAAATTATTATTTTATAAATCTTATCATACCAATAAATATTTATCATATGGTATTGATATCGATGTCCATGATAAAAAAAATAAATAAGAATTTAACTTTCATGATATTTGTTTACATCACATAAGAATAGATGTTTCAGCTAATACTTTAGATTTTATTTTACCAACAAAAAAAAAAAGAAGAGATTTTAGATAATAACACTATTTTTGTCTATAGTTTTAGCCATTTTATAATAAAGAAGACATGGGCCTACATCTGATTTTCCCTTTTCATCTGTAAGGCCCAGAACTTTTTCTCAGCCCAGAAGCTTTGAGAATATTACATTTGGACCCAAAAGCTTCTCCCAATTGCTAAATTTAGCCCAAAAGAAAGTGAGAAGGATCAAATCTTCACCTTCAAAAGTTGTTCTTCTTCTAAAGTTTACAAATAGAAAGAAGAGAAAGAGCAGTAAAAGCATCAATGCCACTGATACGAACTTCCACAGCTTCTCATCATCCATTTCTCCAAACACATTCTGCAGATAAACAATGCTTATCTTAGACTACACACACATACAACAACATTGTGCATGAGAAACCTTAAGCAAGTTTCATTGCAACTCTTTCTCTTCAAAAACAAATGGTGAGACTTACTGTTGAAACCATCTGAGGTGTGTATTCAACAGACATAAGGATCACACCGCTTCTCCCTATTAATTTTTAGTTTTTCGTTTGGGGTGTTATTAATTTACATTTTTATTTAGACTAGTAAGTATATCTTCTTTCCGTTTTGGGTTTTGTTAGTTTACATTTTTTTTTTATTCTAGAGTCATTAATTCCCCTTACATAATAGTAATACATTTGGCAATATTACATTTGTCATAAAGATAATTTACGGTAATAACTAAGTCATATAAAAGGGCCATACGAAGGGAAGGGAAAGGGCTCTCTTGAACGTACGATGATGGAGCCTTTGGTTAAACTCTTGTTGAAGGAGGTGGAAGGTACTCTTGATTGTATGACCGTGTTACTATTCATTGCGACCATCATCGTGTTTCTAGTTTCGTCCTTCCCTTACAAGAAACATATTCGGGATTGGCAAATTAACGAATTCAAAGTTGCCGCATCAGATCACAAAAGTCTTGTTTTCTTGTTCTACTTTCTTTGTTGCGCATCAACAACTATCAACGAGAATCGCGATGATCAGAACCAAACCAACCCGGGCCTTGTTGTTGTGTTGAGGTTTTTAATCAAAAGTGGCTATGCCATGGTCTCTTTTCTGCTCTTCGACAAGATCTGTGTTATTTTACGTTCAAAACCACCCTTGGAATCGACGAACATATGAGCGATGAACTAATGATGGATATCTTGTAGCAGTTTTAATTAGGATTATCTTCCTTGTTTTAATTATTATTACTAGAACCGATCCCCGGGCTACGCCCGGGTAAATTTGTATATTTTCTATGTTTAATAGGTAAACTGTAGGTAAATTCTCCAGCAAGCATATTAAAATTATTCAAGCAGCTAGATGGGTATGAATGAGAATAGGAAAACCAGTTGACACTATATTTTTTTGTCTAAGCCATATGTTTGAAATAAAATTTCAAATGAATCGTAAATATTTGAAAATGAACATAAGTTGAAACTTAGTCTACAGAAAAACTGCTGTCAGGTAGTTTTTTTTTTTAATGGCGTGGATGACCTTCGATCTGCCCACTGAAATTCTTGATGGCGTTGATTGTTTTGTTGAAGTAGAAAGTGGTCGCCGGCGATGAAGAGAGTTGAAGTTGTCCTGTTAAATTATCTTGGGCATGATTAGAACGAATAGTCATGATTTTTTATATTTATAGAAGAAAATGTACCTTGATAAAATTTAGGTATTAAGCTTGTTATGAGGACGATTTTGTATTTCCTATCTTTCTTGCTTTGGAGGGCTGTAATCTCTCTTGCTGGATTGTCCCATAGGATGATCCTAACCTTTTTAAAACCGTTTAGCATTAGAACAATTGTGATTTTTCCGATCGGTTCTATGCTGGGTGGTCTTATGTTTTGCATTTGTCATATCTCCCCGACGACATCTGGACAATATTGGCATTGTTGGTAATATGAATATTATCTGACTTTACAGAAAACTTATGTGTTTTTTACCTGGTAATATCTGGGGGTAGTGGATAAGCGGAGTAAACTTTTGTAATTCCTAGGACATAAATGGGGTGCCCTAACGATTGGATCGAAGAGAGAAACATTTAACATTGTTGACCACTGGTTGAGGCGAATGGTGTACGGAAGACGTGTTAATTTCCCTTCCCGAGTATTTTGTTTGACGTAAAATCCCGATAACTCGTATGAATCTCCTTCGGTTAAATTTGGACCATCTGGGTGGGTATTGGTGGAGAGTTGGCCTTCTAGTAGTACTCTCTGAAGGTGAATAAATTTGTTAGACGAAACCAATAAAGCTAAAATGTGTAGAATATATAATATATGTAAAAGTTATATTATATTGCTTATGTGGTAATCATAGCATATGAAGCCGATATGCACTTCTTGGTGTTACTTGGTTGGTGAATCATGATGTCCCAAATATTCCTTATACAGACCCTTATAGGGCGTGCCGAAAACCCTTCTTCGAGCTGGTGAATTCTTTGAGGGATGAGATGGACGGGAAAGGTCACTGTAAAACATGAGAGAAATTGTTAATTGGAATCATTTTCATGATTTCCAGATGCTAAGAGTTAACATCCTCGATCTTATCATCGAAACTGTTACTTACGTATGTAGTAGACAATGATTTAAAATATCTACTGTATACATAATTTATAAACAATGTTATATTTGTAAAACTTAGTTTGTATATAATGGACGATTTGTAAAATGTAGTTATAATAAAAAAAAATTAAAAATAGGGGGATTTAATATTATTTCATTATATAGTATAGTGAGTTAGTATATTTTGCGTTACGAATGCAGATTTTCGCGGATTATTTCATGGAAATTAATCAAGAGTAAAAAGAGTTATATACCTTTATGTATGAGAATAAGTCTTATAGCCAATAGTTCACATACACAATTGCTGATGATTTTGAAAAGACTTATATACCGCAAACATATATCTTTGGCTATAAGACTATTACATAATTCATACATAATTAAACTATTGAAATAGATACTTTGGATATTAAAAAAAAATTTTTAGATTTATCATAACAGCGAAGTTGATTGAGTATATAGATGTTTATTTCTAGCAAAGTCTTAGATATTTTTTTAATATTTGGTATTGAGTATATAGATTTTTTTTCAATATTAGCATTCCCTTCTTATTTTAAAATTTATGAGAAATACATATTTATTTAGTTTAAATGTATTTTGAAACAACCAAATTTATAACGTTTATATATAGATAATTTATACACAATTAAACTATTACAATGACGTATATATAACCTAAAGTAATTACAGCTAATTTATCAAGTATAAATCCAATTAGTTACATATGCATGATAACATATATCTATACAGTTGGCAACATATTTATGTTTATTTGGCAAAATATTAAAATAAATACTTAGGATATTAAATATCTTATTAGATTTAACATAATAGCTAGATTATCATATTAACAAATTATTTGAAATGTAGAATTAGATTTTTAATACTTTTTTTTATTATTCAATTTCATACACTTAATTAAAAAAACTGTTCTCATTTTGTTTACCAAATAATTCCTATTTCGAAATAAAGATTTTTAAAAACTTCTAATTTATTTTTAGGAAATTCTTAGATATTTTTATATATTTGTTATTGATTATATAGATGTTTTCAAATATTATCATTTCCTTCTTATTTGAAAATTTATTAAAAATACATATTTATTCAGTTTAAATACATTTTGAAACAACCAATTGATTAAAATTGATTGAAATGAGAATTTAAGAGATGGTCAAAATTGATTACAGATAAGATCAGAAATTTATATTTTTAGGACTAAAGTATGTAAACTGAGGATTATTTTTAAATTTACAATAGTAGTTGTAGGTTACATTAAATTTCTGTAAACTTTGGTATATAAAATAATTAAATGAATAAAACATTTATTAAATTTTGGGGTATTTTTATATCACAATGTAAGACATTGGGTTATTTTCTGTTTTTACGAATTAGACAATATAAAGGAAATATGAGCATGTAGACTATAATCAAATTAACGCTTATGGAATATTGAATACACTACAGTAAGGACGTGCGCGTGGAGCAGATTATGTACAACGGTCTGTCTCTGAGCACTAACGTTTTCCAGAATTGTTGGTTTTTGTTCCAGATGGGTAGATTATTTGGCAGTAACCAATTTGTAGTTTGTTATATTTGTATTAATTTTTTTTTTAGGGTTATGGAAATTATGGATTTCGTATTATACTGTTGAAACATGGATACCAAATTAGCTAATACTTCTAATGCAACCTAAGTTTGTGAAATATATATCTATTGTCATGGTATGATGTTTTTCAAAGTTTTCTTGACCCTAAGCTGATAACGTACGTGTCGGAGGTTCTATTCTTAAACCTCAAAAATGTTAAAAAGTCAATTCTATTACCACTTTTTCCGTAGAAGGCTGATTCTTCCTTGTGGGACTAATGTGGTTTATGGTAAATATGCAGGTTTTTTGGATCGCTATAGTATTCTCATTTCTTGGACAGAGAGATAGAGAAAGAGGGGTTGTTGGGATATCCATAGTTGTGGGGTTCGCGAGGCTTACAAACTTCATATTAAAAAGTGTGAATATCAATTAGATTTTATAATGCTGTTTTCAAATGTTTTAATAAAAAAACTGTATTGCTGTTTGATTGTATTGGGAAGTTGAGAGGGGAAGCTATTTATATATAAGTAGGCAAACCTCGTGTGGAGTAGTCGATGAGAAGCACACTACGGTTGATAACTATGGGATGAATAGCATCCAGGGGTTGACTGCGACTTCTTCAGCTACCAAGTTTGCTGTAGGTATGTAGGTGGACGGCCGTTGTTTGGGAAAGAATGAATGTGATTTGATTATTTAGGTTAATACGCAAAAGGATAGTAAGTATCGGTGGTGAGAGTAAATGGTAGTATAAATGTGATATACTATTTTCCTTTTGAGCTGATGTTTTTCTTTTAAATGAGATTCACTATATGTTACGTTTCCATACGTAGACCCTTTTCATAATGAAGCACCAATTTCTAACTAATCTGCACCGTCTGACTTTTTCAACGCTTTAGTGGGCGGAGTTTATAATATATGGGTGGCCAATATCCTGATTTGTATAATGGCAATATCTTTGTTAATAACTTTTATAACAAAAGGTTTTAGCGTTGACTACGTTTTGTAATTGTATTTGTTTTACAATCTTTCTAATGATGAGATTATAGGCACAGGAACTATAACTTCCAATAAAAAGAACCCAAAGCCATTAGCAAAACACAAAGTAGTACGTAGGAGATGCATAATAACAAACCAATGAGAACATGTCACGACTGTTTCAATACACAAAAAATTGATATCAAGAACAGAGGAAGATAGGAGTTTTAAATAAACGAACATAGAGCATGAAAACACCCAAAATTCAAAACTTCTCAACCAAACATAAGTTGTCTGTGGATCCAAAAAGTCTATAAATAGAAAAAGAGTCAAAAGTCTCAACCAAAACAGAAAAGCATAAAATAAAATGCAACAACGACATGCATTGCATAGAAGGTTAGGTCCAAGCTGGATTAGCCACTCTTGGTGCGCTTTGGTTCATCTGTTTCAAGGTCATCAGAAGCTTTTCTGATCTTGTCACCTGCAGAACCTTCAACGCTTGGTGAAGAACCAGCTACACCACTTCCAGCCTCCAAATCAGCAACAGCGGTTTCTGCAATACCATCATCTTCTAAGCCAGCAGTGGGAGCATCAGCTGGTAGTATCTTGGTGACAGTCAAGGACTGAATCTTCCCTGTTAAATTGTGGTCGGAGATCTTGACAATGAACTTAAAAGTCTTCCCTATTGCATCAAGAAATGCTCGAGGTACTGGGACGCAATGATCAGCCCCAGCGCCCTCATTAGCCTACAATAGAAGTCGACTCAATGTAAGTTAATTTTTTTTTTTGTTCCTATATGTTAAACACTCAGAAATTACCTCAAAATAGCAGGCCACTAATTCGGATGCAGGCTTCCCTGTTAACACCTTGCCAGCATCCCCAAGCACGACGAAAACTGCTTGCTCACTCTTGTCGTAAACAGAAATCTTGGTGAGATATCTGCATTAAAATGAATTAGATATGCTTGTTGGTTAAAATAGAGAATCATACTACGTGAGATGCACTTACTGAGGGACGCCTGGGACTTGCCTCTTCTCACACTTGTTATTGTTACAAAACAAAGAAATAGGTCCTTTGACGGCCTTACTGTTACACGCATCACATGAGATGTAATACCAAGATGTTCCCTGGATTACATCGTCTATAGTAGCTGTGCATTCAAACCAAGCCACCTATCCATTTTGGAAAATAAACTAAAATTCATACACACATAACCGTATCTCAAATAATTAGATTCAGAATTACACTTGTACCTTAGCTGATTCTTGCTTAATGTAGGCGAAAATTTCCTCTAGGCTTAACGGCTCAGGCTTAGTCACAACATGAGCATCAATCTTATTGGCAATATCACCATTAGAACTCAACCTGAAACCATTGTAAAGTCATCAATAGGTTAATAGCGGCTTGCATGAAATGTAGAAAGAAGTCATAGAGATATATCGGAAGACATAGATGCATACCATCCTAGATAGTCTCTGGTGAGACCGACATCTGAGTCCATAAATACTCGAGATGACGCCATAGAGGTGAGACAAAGGGTGCCTGATCAAAAAATGTCATTTCATTTACACCCTAAAAATATGTCAACGAAAGAGTAGATTTCTAGAATAGAAGACTGTTGTTCTTAATGAGAGAATGACACAATCAGCTACTAACAATGAAATGGATCTAATAAACACAAATGGTGTGCTCAAAACTAATCGTTATTATGTGTAAGAATATAATTTTAAGCTCTAAAATGCTAACCTCCAATCCGTTTAGGGTTGAGAGTAGTGACCAGAAGGACACTTGGTTTGATTCCGGAGGAGTTAAACTTCTGGCAGAAATCAAATGCAGCCTTGTCCCATAGATAGAGCTTCACCACTGGATCACTGCACAAGCTTGAAAGCATGGGTTAAAAAAGACACACACCGTTTGTTTTTGAAGAAATAATTACTCATATAAACACAGTAAGAAAGGGAGAGTTTACTCATGTGTTTGTACATGAACACACAGATGCCGCTTTTCCATGATATCAACTTCGTCAAGGACAGTATGCTCAGTGATAATCTGGTCATTCACAAGCTTCATGTGGCCAAGGTAATCTGACACATGGAAAACAAAACAGTAGTCACTTAATTTTTACTTCCTAACATCTTAAACGGATATGTACAATCTTCATTGGCTGTTTTCAGATTACTAAACGCTTCTAACGTAACAAAGCAGATCAATAACTTATACATACATAATAAAGTTTATATGACTTCCATAGTTAACAGAGACTTACCATAGAGGTCTCCCTTGGCATCACAGTTCGCCTGAAATTCCTCAACACTACGTAGCCTGATCCGATCCTCCTCAACGGGAACAGGATGGTTTTGAAGAACCGATAACTGAGAGTTCCAGGAGAATGACACAGTGGCTTCATGATCAACAACCCGGTACAGGTCTTTGTTCCTGGATCCAAAGAATCTTTTCAGTTTGTAAACTGAGCCGACGACCAGATCATATGTACCAACCCGTCCGGCTGGTACAAAGCCTTTGATGACTGTCCCCTGTAATATTAATTTTCAACGAAAGATTAGTATAAATATCATACAAATCTAGCTATATTTAAGATTTAGTTAAAAAACAACAGTTCTTTATAATGATAGATTTTTTTAAAATAACATAAAATGATAGATTTTTTTTTTTAAAAAAACATACTAATCTAGCAATAGTTAACTATTAGAAAAAAACATACTATCCGACCATAAATTACAATGAGAGATTAGTAAAAATATCATACAAATCTAGCTATATCTAAGAATTAGAGAAAAAATTAACAGTTCTTTTAAATGAAAGAATTAAATTAAAAATGTACTGTTCGACCAATAGTTACGTTTTAGGACAAATTAATAGAAATCATACACATACCTCTTCATCGATAAGGATCATCTCTTGTCCAATGAGCGTTTTCGATTTTGGATTAATAGCCTCCCATAAATGAATCAAGCGAAACCTCAAAGAAGCTTCATGTGGACCAAGGGTGACATCTCTGAAGAACATCACTTGATCGGCAAGGGTGGGTTGGGGCGCCGTAGGACCTTTTGGTGTTGTCGGAGTGGGGGTCAAAACAGAAGTCTTTCCATGAGGTTTGAAGTCGATTGAGCCGGAAGCAGAAGACTTGCCCTTTTGCTGAGCCGTCGCGGAGGAGGCAGTCGCAGAGGAGGAGAGGATCTTCTTCTTGGTATTCTCGCCGGTGGGGGCTGGAGATTTTGATTTGGGTTCCATGGGAATTTTCGTGTGAGAGAGAAGAGGCTCTAGAAAGTGTAAACGTTAGGTAAACAAAAGGGAAAGGGGAAGATTTATAAACACACAGCCGGTGAAGAAGGTAAGGTGAGCAATCCATTGAATGAGAGGAGATGAAGGATTGAATAGGTTGAAGAAAATTGATTAGAAAGGAAGTGGGTTGGATTAATGGTGGAAACTGAAGAAATCTAAGAGAAGACATCGCATGCAAGGAAGCGGAAAGGATAGATAGATCTGGAAAGTGAACTTAATAGATTATACCTAATTATTATCGACACAAACCAAACCAGGAGTCCAAATTGTAATTCTCGGTTTGGGCTACTCAATTCGTGGATTACATCGAGTAATAGATTTATTACAGAACCAAAACAAAACCAATACATGAGAAAACCAAAGCAAATCGTGTTTATTTTAAAAACCAGGATCAGAAGTCAAACCAAGCTTAGGTGGAGCTTTAGAAGAATTTAAGTGGCTGATTAAAAGTGTTGATGTGGCAGCGTAACTTGGCTTCGTTTGCAACTTTTAGTAGTAATAGATTACTTGTTCTTAATAATTTCTTCCTTGTTTTAATTAATTTAAAGGCTTTTACCAATCCATGCTCCTTTATTCAGTTGGATCTTTTATTATACCATTAATTGATGAAGTCGTCCCTTAGATTATGTTTTCTTGCGAAAAATTTTGTGTTGAAGATGATGTTAATTATCGTCAGAGAAATTTTGATTGGTATATTAAAACTATGTTGTTTACCAAACATTTGATCATCTGTATTATATATTAAAAACAACTTAACGATACATGCATGCATGCACGTTGTGGACTTTGCAAAGGAATTGGATACACAGACGTGCCTTCCCATCATGGACTAATAAGTAACCGAGACGTGCCTTGTCATCATGGCCACGTACGAGAGCTTTGAGTTTTGCTTCATCGTCATAGCTTTCGCTGCTCATGTCCACGGAGGAGGATACAAACGGAGCCAAATTCCCGGACCAATACCACCTTGGGATGGTTCTCTCACGGACCAGATCAGTTTCACTCGGGGATCATTCATGCCTAACAACAGCCTTGTTGATTCTACATTATTCCCGAGTCTTCAAATCTTCATCAAAGAGTAGAAAGCCTTGATAAGCCAGAATATTCAATCCGTGTCCAATCTAGTATGGATATGATCGCCCTAGTATGAATATTGATGTCCAGGATATAGAAAAATGAAAGAAAAGGTAAGAGTATCATGATATTCGTTTTCCTTTTGTAGTTTAAAATCACTAAAAAATAGAGGTTTTTGTCGGTAAAATAGAGGTTTAACAAAGCTTATTTTTTCCTTTATGAGAAATAACACTATTTTGTCTATATTTAGACCATCCGCAATGGCGGATCCTTAGGGAGAATCCTTAGGGAAATATTAATTTTATAATCAATGGGTCCCATGAATAGTTAAGGATTTTAAGGATAAAATCCTTATGTAAGGATTGATCCTTACACTATTCGCGGGCTCCACTGCCCACGTGGCAGTCCGTGAGTGGTCAGTTTTTATTTTTTTAAAGAAAAAATCTGATATATCCTTATATAATCTGAAATAGTCCTCTTTCCTTTTTCCTAAGAATTCCTCCCAATGATCCGCCATTGCGGATGCTCATATAGCCATTTTCTAAGAAAGAAGACGTGGGCCTACGACTGAGTTTTAACCTTTTCATCTGTTAGGCCCAAAACTTTTCTCTTCCCCGAGAAAGAAAACAAGAGAATATTACAACTGGACCCAGAAGCTTTTACAATTTTACAATTCGGACCCAAAAGCTTCTCCCAGTTGCTCAATTTAGCCCAAAAGAAAGTGAGAAGGATCAAATCTTAACCTTAGAGGTTCTTCTTCTTCTGAAGTTTACAAATAGAAAGAAGAGGAAGAGCAGTAAAAGCATCAATGCCACTGATACAAACTTCCACAGCTTCTCATCATCCATTTCTCCAAACACATTCTGCAGATCAACAATGCTCCTCTTAGACTGCACATACAACAACATTGTGAATGATAAACTTTGAGCAAGTTTCATTGCAGTTCTTTATCTTCAAAACAGATGGTGAGACTTACTGTTGAAACCATCTTCTTTGACACAAGTTCATGTTCTTTGACAAAGATCTGTTTTGCATACTTGTAAAGCTCGACATCTAGACTGTTAAGCGTTTTGATCTGCTGAATGACCTCACTAGAAACTCTTGTACGCGTCTGTAAAACGCATCATCAAAAGATTTGATTATTCAAACCTTCTCTAATTTGATGAATCAAGTCCTAAACATTTATTTACCTCTTTGGTGAAATTTGCTGGCGAGATTCTCTTCAAGGAGTTGACTCGTCTGGTTCCTTGGGACTTCCGTAGATGAGTAATGCATCCTTCATAGACTTCCATTAGAGTTTTTACTGTCATCTGAGGTGTATTCAACAGACATAAGGATTATCATAAAGGGTAAAAAAAGGAAAGCTACTTACATTTTCACTCTTAGCTTCTATCTTGTTCGATGCAACTTCAGATGTACCCTTCTGCAATGTCAGTCATCTTCAGCAAGAAAGTTACAATTTACAGGCCAACAAAAGGTAAAACATTAATTGATGAGCAGAACTTTACCTGAATTTTACTCTTATCTGACCCGGATTCTGAAACTGTATCACTTTCTTCTGGAGTAATCAAGAGAATAAGGGTCAGCGTTTTTATGATTGCAAGTACAAGTTTGTATCCAAAAGAGGTTTTATTAAGTTTTTGGACTTCTCAAAGCAAAATTTTAAAGTAAAACCCATTACACTCAACACCTTAAGCATAGATCCAAGAGCGGTACTCTAATAAAAATGTAACTGTGACTAGAGAATAATTCATTATCCTGACTCTAAGTTCTCATCAGACCAAAGAGTATTGAAAGATGAGAAACTTACACCAACCTGATTTAGTAGTTTTGGTTTTTGCAGTTACATTTGACGTAAGAACTTGGGAAAGCACCTGAGAGCCCACTACATTAGCAAAGAGCGATGCAGATTCTCTGTGCTCTTCTGTCAGTCCAACATACAACATGCTATCCAACCTTCTCTGCAAGACCAGAAAGAGTATTAGAGAAAAATACCAAGATACATTTAAGTATGATGAAGAACAAGTGTATAAACTACCTTGGCGACTTGAAGAACAGGCTCACCGAGGTTTTTATACTTCTGCACACAATGTCTAACCTCGTGTGCTTCTGCTAAATGTGAATTGTTTGTCAATCCTGCAATCTGTGAAAAATGCTCTGAAGATCTCTAATCAATTACTTTTATAACAACTAAAAAAAAAAAAAATGAAAAAAGTACCTGAAATGTAGCTCCATTGTGGATTATGTCATGAGCAGTAGGAGTATCAAGATACTTGTGCAGCGGCATAAGCATCTCCTCCATGTCATAAGGGTTATCATCATCCTCAATGACTACTACTCCCTTAACTTTTCTTGCATCTCTCTAAAAAAAGTCCAAGCATATGAGTAACAACAAGCTTCAACCAATAGTTTTTGTCATGGTTCTAAAAATCAGTCTAGGCAGCAACACGGTCCTAACCAAAACGATTTTCTTAAAATCCGATTTATACAACTCCAATCGGTTAAAAACATTCTAAATCGATTAAAATCAATCTTAATTTGTCAAAATCTGTTAAACTAATCCATAATATTAGTATAACTCTACAAATTTGTCTAATTTCTTTTGTTTTAAATATCTAATTTTGATAATTCATCAAAATAATTTTTATAAATAAACAAATAAGAGTAATCTACCTACTCGCTAGTTGTATACAAAGCTCAATGTGCTATTATCAAATATGTTGAAAGGAAGGTGGAAGGGATGTACCCGAGCAAACAGGTCTTGTCTCATCCATGGAACTAAGTACTTCCAAGGCCATATGTCAAGAGTGCTTATTACATTCTTCTTGCGAATGCGACCAGCCATGATAGCCGCAGAAGTTAAATTGGGATGCACCAAGAACCTAGCTGCTACCTCTACTGAAAACTCATAAGTGCTCAACACACGCGCAACGGGATCACGGACTATTGTCATCACCGAAGTTTTCTCCCTCGGTAGCATTTCCATCAAACTATAATCATCATGCGTCGCCAACAACTTGCATTTCTCCTTCCTAATAAATTTACAAAGCTATATCTATTGATCTCATGATCTGTGCTAAGCTATCTAAAACTCAACTTATCAAATCCATAGAGTGTACCTTGGATTGAAACGGAGCTTGTCGTAAGAACGAGGACATTCATCAGCGTTATCATACAACTTCCTCAAGAAACTACAAAGGATTAACCACACACTGATCAAAAAATCATTTCCAAAGTTGAGTTTTTTTGGTAAAGAGAGAGTAGTGTCACCAGTTAAAGTAAGTTCTGCCACCAGTACGAGGAACATGGAGAAAGAAGAGGAGATCCTGAAGCGAGCGTTTGTCTTTGTTATTAGGATGTTGTTCTTCACTAGAAGAAGAAGTATCCGCCCATCTTTTCACAACTCTTTCGCAGTGACCAAACTCAAGTTCACCAAAGGAGGCAAGAACTGAATGTGATAAAAAGGAACAAGCTTTATGAAACAAGAACCAATCAAAATCTATATAAGCAACTTTCATTACATACAAAAGTACAAACCTGAGCAGAGAAGTAAGAACCAGACGAGAGTTAGCTTCGAAATAATAAGATTCATTTGCATTGCGCCCCGACTTCGAACCCTACGAAACGAATAAAAATCACAGCTTTACAAGAAAAAACAGACTATTCAGATTCCGACACGAACAAAACAGAGAAACTGAAAAACGGTTGTAGAGTTAGTAGTAATATTATAACGAAACAAAACAGAAATGTTGGAGAAGGAGACAAGAGGCAAGAGGGTGGGACCCAGAAGATCGCAAGAATTGAATTGTGAAAGGAACAAGGAACATGAGAGAGAGGCCTACGTGTATGTATGTATGTATATGGGGGAGGAATCGAGATCTCGTGCTCATAAATTCTCCTCGATAGCTGTTACTGTTGAGGGTATCATCTACTAGGCCCCTACCTACGAGAAGCTCGAAACCAAAAGGATGAAGAAGCAAGAGAGAGAGAGAGACACTAGTGTGCGATAATTGGTTATGGAAACGCAATAGAAAATTAGTTTTGTCCCTAATCAAATTGAGACCAATGCTTTTTAGTTTAGTTTATTTGGAGTATTATGTTTTGTTGTTGTCCACAATAAACATTTACTTAAGCTAATGACCAAACGTTTTCTTGCAACTTTGTCATCAATTTAGTCTGTTATCTAGTGATTTTTTTCGCTTTGATGACTATAACAATTGATTGATTAGCCTTTCAGAAAAAAAGGATTGGTAACATATGTTTTTTTATAAATGGTTATTTGTCATTTTTATTATATATAGTAAAATATCAACACATATTTTTAATTAGAACTATAAAAGATATTTTCCTATAGAGATAAAGATTGCCTCCACATGTTTTCCTATAAGTAGCAAACTAATAACTATTATGCAAGATTTGCTTACATATTAGTAATTATTAATATCCCCAAATAATATGATACTTATATTAGCATTTAAAATTTTATTTGCCATTCAAAAATTTATTTATAATTATGCATACTGATTTTAATAAAACATCACATCGATAGATTTTTTCAAAAAAAAAAATGATTAGGTTGTAAACCATTAAAAAACAATCAAATTGCATATTAACTAAACTGAAAATAAAATTCGAACCCAAAACCAATGATTTTCAAGAGATTTGAGATAATAAAACTGGGTCTGTTTAACCAAAACAATATTGGGTCATAATAATTGAATGGGCCACGAATGCTTTATTTTATGTTTCTCCAGGGCGCAAAGATAAACAAAAAGTTACAGACCTCCATGACTCAAAGGTATGCCTCTCTGAATATTCTTCTCAGTTTCCTTACTCATAAATGCTACACCTTTTTAATAAGCTTCGGTGATTCGTATAATCTAAAATTCTCGTATCAATATTTCCATTTACATTAGATTTTATCCAGCTAATGAATAAAACACTGATATGCCATTGGTGTCATTGTTAAATTAGCAGAGGAACAAAACACTGATGATATTATAACAAATAGTTACGCGAATTATTTGTTCCTTCAAAACATCATAGTGTTTGTTACTCGGACGTCATAGTTGGTAACGAAACTCGTGAGTTGTTGCATGTTCTTTAATATCAATCATAGATCTTCTTTTACTTCTAATACATAAACTTTTATGAATAGAGTTCTATGATTATACCCACTTATGTGGCTAGTGAAAAGAAAATTTGCAGTGGATTTGTCTGATTGTTGTGTATGACTATGCTTTTTACTGTTGTGTACAGATATTATAATCACAAGATGGACATGGAAGATCAATGTGAAGATTTAAGAAACTCCACTGAAGCAACAACATATGTGGAACCCATGTCTCCACTCTGTGACCAATACAATGATATGATGAGGATTGATTCTCCTACTAAAACTTGTTCAGATGAAGAAATCATTGAGTCTTTGTATCAAAACATCTTTAGTTATGTCCTCTGTCTTCAAATAGAGGAGTCTGGTAATGGTTCAAACACACCTCTGTCTCCTCCTTGTCCTGGTGCTCCAATGAAGCTTACAAAGTTGTCAATAAACATGGATCCAGGCTTCCAAAGAAAGCTCTTCTGACATTGATCTCTAAACATTAGAGTTAACTTTTAGTCTTGTTAATTGTGGTGGTAATTGTGTTCTGTTTGTGTTCATTTGGATTGTTTATTGAAAATGTCTTTTAATTAAAAGAAAAACAACACTTGTCCCACAATATGAAACCATGTTCCTAGAAACTAAACCAACTCAGTTTTTAATCAAACAAAGCAAAGCAAAGCACAACCATTATTACTAGAGTCTTGTTCTCTCAAATTTTCAGCTACGGTCTCGACGAGCAGAGGACGGTTTAGGGCTTCTAATCCCTAGTTCCTGAGACCTACTCACCATTCTAGCCATTGAAGACGTCTGATAAGCTCGTGGCGGCGCGGCGCATCCCACAGGGGGTCCACGAGCCGTTGCTCTTTGTGCAGAATGCGAACTCATGCTAGAGAAGGCATAAGCTCGACCTGATCTCTCATACATCCTCCTACTCGTCATCCTTTCTTGCAAAGCACTCAACTCTGAAGCTAATGACTGACAAAGCCCATCACTGGCCCTAGCAGACTGTGTCTCTGCTAACTCTCTCTCACGGTTTTTGAGAATCACAACCGCTCCCTCCAGATCACCACCGTCTGCTAAAACCCTAGCCTCAGACATAGCTTCTGAAACAAGGAACCTGTTTAGTTGCCTGTCAACTTCTATAGACACCACTTCTTCACCCGTTAGCTCCTTTGGCCTTTCAATGGTAAGTTCTTCTGACTCCACACGGACTATCTCTCTGCTTACAGCATCTTTATAAACGCATCTGATCTTCAGCAACGACATTAGTTCCTCAACGCAACGAGGGATTTCAAGAATCACCAGGAAGTCTCTTTCTTCCTCTGCATACATGTCACCAACATCGATCTTAGCGGTTCTCCCATCAGATGAAACTCTGTTTCTATAGCTTCCTGCTTTTATAGAAGATATCTTAAGACCATCCTCATGAAGACATTCGATTTCAACAACTTGATCAAGAACCACAACACTTAGAAGCCCACCAATACACTGCGCAAAAGCGTCTTGAATCACAGTCTCTGTCTCAATAAACGAGAAGGTTCCACTAGAGACTTGTGAGATAGTATGCATAAGCTCAGCATCATGATCCACACCGAACCCAAAGGTATGTATCGGAATCCTATTAACAGAACTCGGAAGCAAAGACTCGTAATCTGTTCTTAACCTTAGCTGAGAACGAGAAAGAGTGAAGTTATCTTGTCCATCTGATAAAAGCATCATCCCTGAAACAGGATTCTTCCATCTCCTATCAGCAATCACTCTAGCACCAATCTTGAGCCCTTCTGCAATGTTAGTCCCACCTCCAGCAACAAGGGAGTTAACAGCACTGATCGCTTCTTGCTTCCCTGTCTCAGTCATCAGCCTAAGAGGGAATAGCCGACGAGCATTGGAGGAGAATGCAATAACAGAAAGCCTATCGTTCTCACCGAGATTATCAATCACAAACCCAACAGCGTTCTTCAAAAGCTCAAGTTTCATTCCTTCCATGCTACCACTCACATCAAGAACAGTGATGAGATCCAAAGGAGCACGAGTTGTTGGCCTATCATCACTCACACCTTCCGCCTTGAGATGAACCAGAACAGCAAAATCACCACGAGTAACCGATTTCTCCACTGCAGAGACTTGTGGGAGAAGTTTAATCTCAAGAGCTTGACGTTGACCAACAGCAACAACATCACTCACCCTTCCCTGAGGTAAAGACTCATCATCTTCAAAACCAGTCTGATGAACAGGAAAGTTGGTGGAGACAGGGACACGGTTATCAGCAACAAACAAAGGGACTTGTTTCCACTCAGTTCTACACAAAGGGCAAATCCTGTTCCCGTGTTTCACATTGGAAGTGATGCAATCAAAGTGGAACGAGTGTGAGCACTCTGCAGTAAATATCGCCTTACCATCTTCCTTCCTAATCTCATCCAAGCAAATCGCGCATTTACTCTGCAAAATTTCAAGAAGAAAACCAATCACTATCACACAATCTTTAACCCTAATTATTAGCTAAAAACCCTAAAAAATCATCTCCTTTCTTATTTTTTCTCCCATTTACTCTGCAAACTTCAAAAGAAACTAATCACTTATCACACAATCTTTAACCCTAATTAGCTAAAAACCCTAAAAAGTCATCTACTTTCTTATTTTTTTCTCGTATTTACTCTGCAAAACTTCAAAAGAAACTAATCACTACTAACACACAATCTTTCACCCTAATTAGCTAAAAACCCTAACTTTCTTATCTTTTTCTCATCAACCGTAAAGGAAGGATCTTTAGGTTACAGAGATAGTCACAGAGAGAACAGAGCGAACCCTAATTAGCTAAAAACCCTAAAAGTCTAATTTTTAATCTCATAACCGGTAAAGAAAGGATCTTTAGGTTACAGAGAGAGAAAAGAGCGAACCTTTGAGCGAGGAGGAGAAGGAGACGTTAGGGTTGCGTCAACGGATGATGATGGTGAAGGAGAAGATGGGTTTAGGGTTTTGAGAAGTTTGAGACTTTCGTTGTTTGGGATCTCCATTATCTTTAAGGGTAAATAAAATCAAAAGGGAGTTTTTTGGATGGAGAAAGTTTTGATCACAAAGACTTAAGAAGAAGAAGAAGAAGAAGAAGGAAGAGGCGGTTGCCGAAGGAAGAAGAAAGGGAATTGTTCAATTTAAATTTAAGTTTTATTATATTTAATAAAAATATTGGTCAACTTTTATTATATTTACTCATGTTATTATTGATTGAGATAAGGTCTTATCTAAAACTAGAGATTTTGCCCGGGCTACGCCCGGGATTAGACAACTATAATATAATATATATATATATATTGCAACACTTGCTATAAAATCTATATCATAGATTGAATTAAAAATGAATAAACTGATAATTTATCATTTTACTATATAAAAATACATATAGAATGATCAGAAAATATGAAAATGAATAAGGTATAGTTAAATCTAAGCCATGATCCAAATATTTTTGTTTGTTATATTGAATTATCATGAAAACAAATTATTAGTTATAGGTAAAGTTCATCTGTTTGCGATAGAAATGAACCATGTATTATATGTGTAACACTATTCCTCCTCCTTTTTTATGGTTTTTTTTTTTTTTTTGATTTCACACCATCATACTGTTCTTCTTCTGAGCCTACTAAAAGACAAAAGGAAGCAATTTTGTTTAGATTCTCTTTTTCTTCACGAATGTTAATTTCTGAAATGTTAACATTAGGTAACTGGAGAGTTACAGCAATAGAAGCACGAGCAGGAAACGGTTCTGGTGCTTCATATAGTTTCTGATAAATAAGAAGGAAGAAGCATAGTCACAATTGTGATGAGCAGATTCTTAAAAGTCTGAGATTTGAGAATATACAAACCGCTTCAACACAACTCCACGAAGACAACCTATAATCATCAAGGACGTGCTTAAGACCATTAGCAATTGTGAGAAGCCTGCAGTAAGAGTCTGCAATCCAATTGGATATGTAAGCATTAGTGTAATAGGAAATATCAAAAAGAAACACAGAATATATTGCTCAAGTAACTTCTAGTCATCAAAACAACTGTCTCGCGGTAGGACTTCTCAAATCCTAATGTTGCTATCCGAGATACATCATCAAGAAGCTACATATAAGTGCCAATATATGCATAAGTAAATATGAAGAAAAAGATATATATAGTTGTTCTATTGCCTAAAGTGGCACAACAGATGGAATAAGGCCAGACAATTATCACTTGAAACGGAGCCATACTTGGAGTCGCAAAGTGCCAGGAATTGAAGTATCACCCTCTTCTAGGCTTTCAACAAAAAATGGGAAGACCATGTCCGCTACTTCAGACTTCTTAACAGCAACGCTAATATCAGTAAGCAGCTGCATAACACTCAGCGGTACAGTAGGATCTTCCTTCTCCCTACCAGCCTAAGAGCCAGATTATTGGGCTTATTAAAATTGCAACACAAGAAATATGTCTAATCCAGCTAAGGGACAGGTTAAGAGTAACCTGCTCTTTGTAATTCTTATTTTCATGAATCCTTGAAGCAACCCCCCCTCCCCAATGAAGGTGTTCACTAAAGCTCGATCCTTGACCCAAATAGATTCAATAATCTCACAACAAATCTTAGATAAACTCTCAAAAATATTCCTCTGATTTCCCACCCAAGTATCAGGCTGTTCCAACAAAAAGAAACCTCAACCAGTCAATTAAGATATATCCAGACTCCAGAGAAGTAGTGACATGATGTGTTCAAACTATACTTCGGTCTAAAACCATGTTTCTCAAATAAGTTGCCATAAAACAGAATTACCTGTGCGCAGACAGCTAGTACCAGTGGTTTAAGTCTGACAAACAGCCCATGTGGTGAACATCTTCCCTTTGCGACTGCCGCAATCCCAGAAAGCAGAGATATGAACAGTTCTTTGCAGGCCTTCATTTCCCGCCACAGGGATGTTAAGCAAGCTTCTGCAGCATCAAACAGCAATGTAAGAGTCTGTTTAGTCAGCTTTTTATATGTCTTTCCATCTGTTTCAAGGGACACAAGACTTGATTTTCATTTTAGCTGCAGCTTGATAAACCAACAGTTTGGCATCCAGTGGGTCTTATTGCGGTACTTTGTAAAGCCTCAATCACCAATGTCAATATGATCTAAGAACACAATATGTAAATTAGCAACAAAAAATGTTTACCTTGAGAAATGCAGACATGGACTGAAGTTTCCTTCTAGCTATAGAACTCATCTGATCATGGAGCTTAGATTCAACATTAACTTTACCCAAAACATGGCTTATCAACTTGAAAATAATATCTTGCTTCTCCAAACTCTCAATGGATTCATCCTCAAAGGAAGCAATTTTCTGCCTAAACAGAGAGAGAGAGCGTCCACTACATGACGCATTATATACTGATGAGTAACACGTCATCACCTGAAACCATAGCCTCCCCTGCAATCTCAAATGATCACTTTCTTCTATTTTCCTCATCCAACAAAAAAAAAGAACACAATTCTAATCTACAATACAAAGAAACGTGATTTCTGAGAGGACCACTCAAATCCTTGCGCTCGTAAATGCAAAAGTCGATCAATAAGGTATCTTAAGAAGCTTGATATAGAGTTTCAGAATCTTGAAGTTCAAGAAGATGACTCTATGGCAGAGAAAAGTTTAACAAACGTTTTGTTGAGGAGATAAGGTGAGAAAGAAGATTGATTGGAACTGGAGTATAATTGAGGTAGATTCAAACATGTTCCAAATCACAGAGGAAGAGTAACACTAACTAAAGAACTTACCAAAGACAAATAAAGATGCTAGCTTTCACAAACCCTAAAATTGTGATCGCAGAGAATCTAAAAAAAAGGATTTTTGACACAGTAATCCAAATTGACATGATATATATTGTTAATAAAGGCGTAAAGAGTACAATTAGAGTAACAGAGATTTAAAGGGAGTGGAGTGGGAATCGTCAAGACATGGACGAAGAAAGCATAACGTTCTCAAATGGGCTGTAAACAAATTTTAAAAACTCTAGCCCATGTCGACAAAGACAAAGAAGATGTTTNTTTTTGACACAGTAATCCAAATTGACATGATATATATTGTTAATAAAGGCGTAAAGAGTACAATTAGAGTAACAGAGATTTAAAGGGAGTGGAGTGGGAATCGTCAAGACATGGACGAAGAAAGCATAACGTTCTCAAATGGGCTGTAAACAAATTTTAAAAACTCTAGCCCATGTCGACAAAGACAAAGAAGATGTTTTTTGACACAGTAATCCAAATTGACATGATATATATTGTTAATAAAGGCGTAAAGAGTACAATTAGAGTAACAGAGATTTAAAGGGAGTGGAGTGGGAATCGTCAAGACATGGACGAAGAAAGCATAACGTTCTCAAATGGGCTGTAAACAAATTTTAAAAACTCTAGCCCATGTCGACAAAGACAAAGAAGATGTNGTTTTTTGACACAGTAATCCAAATTGACATGATATATATTGTTAATAAAGGCGTAAAGAGTACAATTAGAGTAACAGAGATTTAAAGGGAGTGGAGTGGGAATCGTCAAGACATGGACGAAGAAAGCATAACGTTCTCAAATGGGCTGTAAACAAATTTTAAAAACTCTAGCCCATGTCGACAAAGACAAAGAAGATGTGAGGTGGCAAAGCAGAAGGCATATGATTGGTTGATTATTTTGGGGGACGTGGACACTCTCTCCATGGAGTATATCCCCCTTTTAATATAGTATAGATTTTATTGTTACAAGCTCCTAATTTTACTCCTCCTGATTGCAAATTTATAACTGATTATTATTAGTTTAAAATAATCATTGATATTGTTTAATAATATAAATTAATCAAGAAAATTATTTTTGGAAAGCATTTGGTTGACGAAAATAAAGGAAAGCATTTGTTATTTTATGTAGATTCTTAAATGTTTTATTAGGAAAAGTTGATGCGTTTAGGTAAAAGAATTTGTACTTTTCTGAAAGCTATAGCTTTGGTTTAGTCTCCTAAGTTAACGATAAGTAAACTAAACGACATCGTTTAGTTGTAATCCAAAGGGTTTTAATTTTTGGACTTATTTGTTGACACTGGCCTAGGCCTACTTAATTTACATTTGTTCGAAAGTTTTCTTAATCAAAAGGAAACTCTGATTTGAGTATCTTCGTGGGCCTTATCATATTGCTAACCCACACTATGTATCATTTTAATTTGGAAGAGTGATTGCAAATAATCATATTGCTAGCCCACACTATGTATCATTTATGTGTCAAGTCTTCGGCTCAGGTTCGGATCGGTTCCTTTTGAATCTAGATGTTTCGGATCCAAGAGTTTTAGATCCAATAGCTATTTGTAATTCAGTTCGGATCAACTTTTTTTTTTTAGATCTGGATTAGTTTGAATCTATAGTTAAAATACTTATAAACATCCCTAATTTTTGGATCCGTTTCGCATTTAGAATTTAAAATTAACATGAAATACTTAAATTCCATCAAATTTAGTCAAAAGTCTATCATAGATATCTATAGTTTTACAAAATAACTTAAAACTAATAATTACTAAAATAAACATTTTAAGGTATAAATTTTACATTTAAAAATCCATATTACTTGAAAAATATAATAAAAATAATAACAAAGATTGTTAAGAGAAATAAATTTCAACCAAATTATAAAATAAAATATAAAAATATATATAAAAAATAAAATACTAAACTCATCTTTTAAGAAATTCAGATTATTAAATCGGTATTAATTAATTCTTATCGGATTGGATCTTTTCGGATCAGTTCTTTTCGATTCGGGTTATTTCAAATAATATAATTTTAGATCCAATATATACTTGTAATGGGTCGGTTTAGGTTTGGATTTACGAAAATGGAATAAAATGTCCAGGCCTACGATTTGGCTTTAGCAGGGGGTGATAACTGATAAACTATATATACCAACAAAACTTTAAATCTTATTATTATCTTTGGAAAATAACATTTTTGTGCTACTTATCTATCCGTAATTAGTTTTTAAGTTTTATCGGGAATAATTTTTGATTACTTCAATGATTTTTTTAATATGTCTCTAATTCTTTTGCTGCTGAGGGAGTATATTATTTCTACGTACGTCTGCATACAGAACACACACAAGTAGCAGATGTATGGGGGTGGTTCCTAGATATAGCGAACGGCTAGTTTATGAAGTTAATTACACTTGGACGATTGGATCTAATCTAATGATAGTTTAACAGAATAGTAGTCTGCATATTCGAGAGTCAGCGAGGATGTCTTTATCTGAAACATTTATACGAAAGGTCTAATGTTACGTCATCTGAATTATTCAGTTGCCAGCATTTGATAAGTCGGCAGATGCAGGTTAAATGAATCCATTATCACAATTATTAAATCAAAGTCTTTCCAACATCCCAAGCGCTAATTAGGAAATGTCTTAATTAGTTTATTTAAGTTCTGACTTCATCTACATGAAATGTTATATTTATGCAAGTTGTGTATACCCACAAAACAAAAGAACAATTAGACGTCAATAATGTAGTAAGTATAAGGATATCCCCAAGGATTAGCCTATTCTGACTAGGGGATCTACACTTGTCGAGTTGGAATCCTAATCGATCAATCTAAATAAATTTTAAAGAAAGGTGTACCTTAGTTTTCATAGTTGAATTTAAACCCACTGTTAAAATCATTAGCAGCTTTTATTTTCTACTACTAATTTTTTTGGTCAAATTTTTCTACTACTAATTTAGGTTGCTCTAGATTCTTTTTGGTAGCCTAATGGCTAAAATTTAAAGTCTCCTACATCCGGTCTGGAATTTGGATCACATATTACACATTTTCTACATTAAAAGGGTTTCAATTATTGAAAAATGTGAATGGTGAATTATGCAGATTGGAAAAAAAAACTTACAAAAAAATTTCAGTATAGCGCAAGACGTACCGTCATGACTGAATCTCACATGACGACTTATGGTGATGCAGTTAGGCGTGAATCCGCATAAACCAGATAAAATTATCGATTATAATATCATCTATGTAATATTTCTCATAATTTGTAATGAATAATTATTTAGTGTTAAAAATAAAATTAAGGTTGCTCTTGTAATGGGAAAATTGATGTTTCTGTCAACAATTTTAATATATGTTTATCTATGTATATTTCAGTTATATCTATATATTTTTAAACCAAAATTTACAAAAGACAAGAGAGCTGCTTTGACTTTAAGAACAAATAAACTACATGATGAACAATAACAAATGGATAATCATTATAGTAGCAATCCCTTGCCTCCATTGTTATATATACCTGATTATAATAGCAAATGTACACATGTAGCAGATCTAACAACACAACCAGTGCTGAGCTCATCAATGTAGTTGACTTTTCACTCTTCACATTTCTGACAACGAATTTATGTTTGTTTTTCATATCCCAACTTGTTGGAACACCTACACGTCATCAAAGATTGATTGATAAGCACTTATTAGTCATTTGACGTTTTCAAATACTACTTCTGAAAAATGCGTGCACACACATTTTTGGACATATTTAAGATTTTTGGTTATACGCATTTGTACATATCAATTCAACATCTAACTTGAAAAATGTTGTTGTGCTTTGTACTTTTGAGAAATTCAGATTTTCTAGCTGTTAACCTACAAAACTAAAACAGAAAGTTTAAATTGTTACGAGATATGTTTTCTGTAGCAAATAATCACGTATCTACTTTCTTGTAGATTCTCTGGCCCTTGACAATAGAGTAACAAGATTGTATATGTAGAAATAGATATCACCAATTTCACCTTCACTCAAAAACACACACACATTAATTATATACTTACAGAAACGTTATATATAAACCTTAACCTCAATTTCACTTTGAGATTTAGATGAAGAAATGTCTTAAATAACAATAGTTGCTTATATATATTGTATTAAACCTAAACCTAAATGTACATTTACACACAAACAAAAACATGTTTAGATATGTTGTAATTTTTACGTCAGGATCAATAATGTGTTTTTTTTTTGCCTGGTTCAACCATTGCAAATTTCTCTAGAAAATGATATATAAATCAATAGAAACTTATTCTTGTTGTTAAAGCTATATGCAATCGTAAGCAATTCGAAGGGACAACTAATGTGCAGCTAAGACCACTCCAAATTAGACCGTCCAGAAGATCAATTAGTTTATTCACTAACTATCATATTTTTCTTTCTGTATACTATTATTCAGTGTAGATAATGACAATGCTAACCCTCCAAGACTTTGTAACTGTGCAATATCTTCCTTACGTGTCTAGATGACAGCTACTGATGACAGTGTAGATAAAATCATATAGCGATCCGGTTCGACCATGTAGAGCAAATTTAGACCCGTTAGACTCGGGTCCATCTGAACCATATATGACTAACCAATCCTACTATAGCCAGATAAAATCCAGCAAACCCATAATTGTTTTATGTTTTTAGCGGTTAATCGTGAAAAGACCAAATTGAAAACCAACAAAACAAGGTTCTTTTAACTAGTTTATATACAACTTGTCATTATGTTAAGCTCTACGTACAATAAAACCTTTATAAAATTAATAATGTTTGAATTACATCAAAACTATTTTTTTATTTTTATAGAAATTATCAAGTTATCCATATATTAATTAAATCAAAAACTTAATTTGTGACTATAAAATTATATTATTTTATAAAAAAAATTAGTGTTTATTAATTTTTACAATATTAAAAGAGGTTATATTATATTTCGATAGACAAAAACTCTGATAGTAGTTGATATTTCTAACACAACTATATGTTCCTATTGGCAGAGAATGGTAGATCGGTAATTTGCAAAGAGAAATGTAACCTTTGAGATAAGCGAGAGACTAGGAAGATGCGTGCGGCGAATATAGATTCCTCTAAATAATACTTTTAAATTGTGAATACTTTTAAATTGTTAGTTAACCGTTGAGAATCTCCAAAGAATACTATTTATGAAATTGTCAACGTTATGAATACTATATAAAGCCCTGGTGCAATCTCTAAACATCAATCAATATACACTTGAATCAAAATCTCAAACTACTTTTAAAAAAATGGGTGACCCTAGTGGCGAGCCTGGAAGCTCCATGCATGGAGTCACCGGTAGAGAACAAAGCTTTGCTTTCTCGGTGGCTTCACCTATTGTCCCAACCGACAAGACAGCAAAGTTCGACCTACCTGTGGATTCGGAGCATAAGGCAACGGTTTTCAAGCTCTTCTCCTTCGCCAAACCTCACATGAGAACGTTCCATCTCTCGTGGATCTCTTTCTCCACATGTTTTGTCTCCACATTCGCAGCTGCACCACTCGTCCCCATCATCCGTGAGAATCTCAACCTAACAAAACAAGACATCGGAAACGCTGGAGTTGCCTCTGTCTCGGGTAGTATCTTCTCTAGACTTGTGATGGGAGCCGTGTGTGATCTTCTAGGTCCACGTTACGGTTGTGCCTTCCTTGTGATGCTTTCTGCTCCAACGGTGTTCTCAATGAGTTTTGTGGATGGAGCTGGAGGGTTTATTACCGTGAGGTTCATGATTGGTTTCTGCCTTGCGACGTTTGTGTCTTGTCAATATTGGATGAGCACTATGTTCAATAGTCAGATCATTGGTCTTGTGAATGGGACAGCAGCTGGATGGGGAAACATGGGTGGTGGCATAACGCAGCTGCTCATGCCGGTTGTGTATGAGATCATAAGACGTTGTGGCGCGACGGCGTTCACGGCCTGGAGGATTGCCTTCTTTGTCCCTGGTTGGTTGCATATTATAATGGGAATCTTGGTGCTCACGTTAGGTCAAGATCTTCCAGATGGGAACCGTAGTGCCTTGGAGAAGAAGGGAGAAGTTGCCAAAGACAAATTCGGAAAGGTATTTATTTATTCTATTTATATATTACATTTCATAAAAATTAATGTTAACATAATGAATCAAAAAATTAACGATTGATTTTGCATAAATATTGGTGTAGATTATGTGGTACGCTGTTACAAACTACAGAACTTGGATCTTTGTACTTCTCTATGGATATTCCATGGGAGTTGAGTTGAGCACTGATAATGTCATCGCTGAGTACTTCTTTGACAGGTTTGTTTTCGATGTCGACTGAAAATATACTGATTTTGTATTCAAGCTAACAAATCTTTACAATTAAATTTATTATTTATTTTTACTATACAATTCAATAACTATAAATATATAATATCAAATCAATTGAACTATTTATAATTAATTTAACTAGGAAAGAAATTCACGCATTCACGCGGGCAATTAAATTCTTTAATGAAAATTTTAATTATTTGGTATTAATAAAGTGTAATTACAAAATTGTCATATTCAACAAAAATTCTTTATTTTAAAAATATTGATCATCAATCAAAGGATTACATAAACCAAAAATAATTCTAATGGTGTATGAAATATTTACAATTAAATTTATCTTTTGATGGAGTATGTACTAAGAGTAAACATATGTACATGGTTTTCTTCAGGTTTCACTTGAAGCTCCACACGGCAGGAATCATAGCAGCATCTTTCGGAATGGCCAACTTCTTTGCACGTCCAGCAGGAGGCTATGCATCAGACATTGCAGCCATTTACTTTGGTATGAGAGGAAGGTTATGGGCTTTATGGATCATTCAGACAGCAGGTGGTCTCTTCTGTGTGTGGCTAGGCCGTGCTAACACTCTCGTCACAGCTGTTGTAGCCATGGTCCTCTTCTCATTAGGAGCACAAGCAGCTTGTGGAGCCACGTTTGCAATCGTTCCTTTTGTCTCTCGGCGAGCACTTGGAATCATCTCGGGTCTAACCGGTGCTGGAGGGAACTTTGGGTCAGGGCTAACACAGCTCATCTTTTTCTCGACCTCAAAGTTCACAACCGAAGAAGGGCTAACGTGGATGGGAGTGATGATAGTTGCTTGCACGTTGCCTGTGACGTTGATACACTTTCCTCAATGGGGAAGCATGTTCTTGCCTCCTTCTAAAGATCCGGTCAAAGGTACGGAGGAGCATTATTATGGTTCTGAGTGGAATGAGCAGGAGAAGCAGAAGAATATGCATCAAGGAAGTCTCCGGTTTGCGGAGAATTCTAAGTCTGAAGGTGGCCGCCGCTCTCGTTCTGCTGTTACGCCCCCTGAGAACACACCCAACAATGTTTGATCATATACATAACTAGTGGAAACAAATGCAAATGTTATCAACGCTTGCAATATATTCATAATATATATATTTTTTTCTTTCACTAATGAAACCTTTGTGTTATTATGGGCTTCAAAAAAAAAAATCTAGTCAAGTACATACCCTGTGATATTTGAGTAGTTTGCATATGTCATAGCGTCTAAAAATATTGAAATTGGCAAACTCCAATCCATTATAGAATTACACATACATAATTAAAAATAAAAGCTTATAATATGTATAATTCACACACACATATGTATATATGAATAGTGTGCTTAAATATATGTGAGTTTAGTCATTTATATTTTATAAGTTGTTATTGACTTTATGAGTTTTTTTTTCTTCTATGTTGAGAAATGTGTTGTAGTATAGATGATTATCGAACCAGTTCTGAGGGATTTAAAAGCACCGAGAATACAAGTACTAGATTAATCTAAGTGCATACTAAATTATATTGTTAATCAGAATGTCAGTTTTATTAAAATTCAAAAACCATTTCCAAAAAAAATTGAATACAACGTATAACATTTTTTAAAGAAAAGTAAAACGAAAGAATAATAATAAATGCATACAAGAAGAAACAACAAATAAGAAATTAAAAAACAAAAACACACAAACAATCAAGGGCACATAGCATATTTTATACATACACAAATAAAATCACTTCACGTTTATAAATAAACCAAACTAAAGACGAGTTCGGCATAAAACTCTCTGGAACCCATTCAACGAGTTCGATGTAACGTTGATCATAATGGGTGTACACACAGCCTTCAACGTACGTCTCCTTGACCGCAAAATCCAAGTCTTGTAGCTCACTCTAGCCGTTATATACACTTCCATTTCAATCACCCCTTTAGTCGTTTCAGCTCTCAAGTCCTTTGCATTAAACTTAGACAATGCCACGTTGTGTGACACAAGCTGCGTCTCAATCTTCGTCTCGTTCTTTGGACGTTGCTTGAAGGCAGGGATCTCCTTGTGCGCCACGGACTGGTTATGGTGAGCCGTGGAGATGCGCATGGAGTGGTATCTCACGGAGACATGTTTCTCAGGGTTGTATGATTTGATCACATAGTTGAATTTGGCGCTAATGTGATCGTCCTTGGCGATGGCAAAGTCTTGGACCGACGCGGCTTCTACCGTGTAGACTAGTCGCTTTGGCCTGAGGGTGAGGTATGTGATCAGTATGGCGAGACCCACAAGGAGTCCTAAAAGGATGAGGGCGATGATGATGCATAGGACAGGGTTTAAACCTCTAGCAGGAAGCGCTTGAGGATGTGGTTGCGTTCGTTTAGGTGGTGGGTTTGGAGGAACCATTGTTTATAACTGATCTCTTAGTTAATTGTTAGAAAAAAGATAGAGAGGAAAGATTAATTTGATTGTTTTGCTATGGTTTAATACATATATATAAGGGGAGTAACACGGATAGTTAGATTCTTTGCTTTAGTGTAAGGATTAGTCCCAAAACTATTCATCTAAAATTCTTAATTATTTGGCATTACTTGTGAATAAATCAAGAAATCTTGGAAGCTGGAAGATTCTTACTTTTTGCTTGTTTATTCTTTATTTTCATTTTTATAACTCTTTGCTTCTTCTTGTAATGTTGTCATTACAACTTTGAATGTGTATAACTATCAAATAACATATCATTTTCCTTACCGATTTGCTTTCTTGAAGAGAGAGAGATAGACTTCCATTCACTTTAGTTAACATCATTGTGTTTAATCATGCCCCCTTTGCATCGTCGGAAGCCTTTATTCCTTTCCTAGATTGTGTAAAGAACAAAAGATAACCGGAAACCAAATTGTGTTTTTATAGTTTTACAGTAACTATGAGAAAACGTCAAAAAAATTTTCTAAAATGATGGGAACTCGAGGGACTTTACGGATGTCCCTTAGCGTTTTTAATTAAAAACTAAGAGATTTTTCCGCTAAGATACAACGCTAAGGGACCACCGATAATGTTGCTCTTAAACCATATATCGAATTCCTTATAAACTCGAATAAACCAAAGGGCCACACGCTCTTGGTTGATGAGGCGTGTTTACCTAATAATCACCACTAATAATTGTGTCAAAATTATAAGTTCCATTAGAGTAAAAATTTGTAGCACTATGTACGATCTTGTATGTGTTTGTAAAAGATAATGGGAAATGAAAAGTCTAAAGCAACAAAAAAAGTGGTCATTGCATGCTGAGCATTGCAGAATTTGGTCGCCGGATATCCCTTGGAAGATCCTTTCTCCTTCACCTTCTTCCACCAAATGAACATATTGATATATATGCACGTACACACGGGTGTTTTTATATATAGATTTGTTCCTGTGTGCTTTGTATATAGACTTATATACCATACAAACACATAAAATGCCTATAGACATGCAATGTCTATACAAATACGTGGGTTTGTACTAATTGATCTAACTACATAAGCAACACCAAAAGGAATATTCCATTAGTTATTCGGTTCGTTGAAATATATTGCACGAAAAAATATTTTGAACAACAAAAAGTTGTCACTTCAACTATGTTTATTCTTGTTGAGTTGATTGTACTTATTACAGGGGCATATACTTTATAGTACAAAGAGCATGTGTCATCACTTTGCACTAACTCTTTTTCAAGTTTCACTTACTCGTTTCACATGCACTTTCCTTATATATATATAACCTTCTTCCTATACCTTTCACAGTCGTCATCCCTCACCTCTAAAACCATGTCTAACAATAAGAGCAAACACGAGCCAATACCTCAAGACAAAGATCCTCCGGTTAGTCATTTAATGATGGTTATGATTATGTCTTCTTCTAATCTTGTCTTCAACCATTATAAAGGATCACCGACAGCTACTACATGGATATGAACTTGGACGTACGAGAGGAGAGATCGAGAAGTTGACCAAGTTGAAAACCTAGGTCTTTTTGGTCAACGGTAACCACACTAGGTCATTATGTATCTTTCTCTCTGACCGGGCAATTTCAGAATCTTTGGCAATGTTTCTCGTGGTATGGTATCTGTTTATGTTACTGTTTCTTGTCAGTCGATTTGTAGTAAATCTTCTTGTTATCGTTTTGTTAACGGAACATTTTTTTCTTGTTTGCACTAATGTAGTTTTCTTTATGAGCTTATAAATATTAATATACAATCTCGCAACGATTTATTACGATGTGCAGAAGATATAACTAAGATAAGAAACAACAATATCGTATGTTCTGCTTGTTCCGCTCTGTGAAAAAAAGAGAGAGTAAAATGGGCCGGGGCTAAGTGCATCAAGTTAGTCTTTAAGCCCAGAAGGCCCAGTACGATAATTTATTTTTAATTATCACCTAGATTGATATCATTAATTCACAGAGCTAAATCTTAGTCTTGTTCTGCTTCTTCCATCTACTATTTATTTTTTAAATGCTAAATCTTAGAAACAAAGATCGATTATAATATCTGGAAAGACACGAGCATCAAATTGTAAAAGACATAATAAACAAGGTCGATATATACAGAAGTTATGTACACAAACGGAGTGAAAGTTGTAGCCTTGTAGGTAATACAAAGTTACCGAAAATGATGTCTAAGCGAAGAAGAAACAAGTTCAAAAGAATCATATCAAAGATTCAGGCGCTATTACTCCTCCGTTTCTTACGGACATGGTTAGGGTTATGAACAAAGAAAGTCTCTACCTCGTGGCTCCCCACGTCGGTGGCTTCAAAGAAACGAAGATCTTTGGACAACCTTTTCATCTTTGTGAGAGGAATCTCACGGGGTCGCTTTCTTGGCGCGGGAGGACAAGTCTCCAGCTCAGGAATCTTGTGATCACTTGAAGTTGGTGTACACAGAGATCCTAACAACACTTCTTCTTCTTCTTGGTTTATGGGTTTCTGTTCTTCTACTTTTGCTTCATCTAGGGGCTCGAGAACCTTAGACATGGTCACATGGATATGTATGTTTTCTATATGGGAATGCTAAAGTTTCGTGAGATAATCTACCTTCTAAAAGGGAATAAGTATTAATTTTTGGATCTAGAAAGTGATAGGCAGAGAGAGAGAGAAAAGGAAAGTAAAAGGGAGTGTATTTCTGCGAAATGTCCATGTAGTATAATACTGAATGAATGAATATTCGGATATTCAATGTTTTTTGTGCAACTTTTCAACTGCAGGACCATTAGTTAGTTAAATTATCTTGAAGAACTGTTGTCATTTGCAAATTTCGTTAATTAAACAAGAAAAAAATGAACACTATATCATTGTGTGTTAGTTGAAATTTAAATAAGTTTCGTTCAGAATAAATCGCAATGTGTCACATCATTCTTCAATGCTACATATCTCTAAATACGTACAAATGCTTAGCATAGGATACCCATTTCATCGCTTACAAATATAATATTTCATATAATTGATGTGTCTACTTTCCGACTTTCATTGGCCTTATATTCGCTGCATCTCAGCCTATTATTTGAGCCAATCAGTTATGACCAGGTCATCCTCCACTTGGTCTGGTTTGATATTGGGTTCTATTGGTAAACTAGATCAGGATTGGGCTTATATAGTTATTTTTTCTTCTCAAAAGATCAACCCATTTACACACACAAAAAACAATTTCACACTATGCAGTTTTATGCTTACATAATCAATCATACATTCATACAGTGGCATAACCTATTACCCCAACACACAAAAACCAACCCAAGCCCCCATAACGAGCGCAATACAATAATCTAACTCCACAACATTCAGAAGGAGTTAATCCTACAAAACAGAGCTGACTCTTTCATTATCAAATACACTCGGTAACCACATCTGGTTCACCCGAAGCCACGTAAGATTGGTTTGCTCTGATATTATTATTTTTTGTTTTAAAGGGGGAGAGAGAGACGATGAACATATAATGTCTGTGCAGTTTTCCATCAAAGAGATGTTAACATATAAATGTTAATAGTTTTAACAAACCATTCTCTTTTTTAGTTTTCCGGACAAATACAAAGATATGAAGCTTCAACAGCGAAATCAAAAACATTTAACAGTAATACTATATAACAATAAAATGTAAAACTAGAACCAACCACCATGATGTATATCATTCGCTTAAGAGTAGTGGCCTATTTTAAGGTAATATAGGGTAAAAAAAACAAAAATAAATGGAAATGGTAGCCGGCAAATGATTCAAGGTGATGATGACCTCTAAGATGCAACTGGTTTTGAAGTGGCCTTCTTAACAGCTTCAGCATAGGTCCTGTGCTGGTAAGTTAAGGTCGACTCAAGCAAGTCCCAAAGAGAAGTCTTCGGGTTCCATCCTAATTTATCAGAAAGCAGTTTTGGGTTATATTATGTTTGAAGAGACAAAGCCAGTCAATCAAAAACAGAGAGGAGATCTTACCAAGTTGACGGTTGATGATGGTCATGTCTGGGATTCTCTTGTCACTGTCATCATAACCTTCTCCATAGAATTCTTTGGAGCTCACGTCTATCGTTGGACTCTCAATAGCTGTCTCTCCACTCACTTTTGAGTACACCTGTCCATTTTTTGTTTTGGCAGCATTTGAGTGTGTGCCATAATATATCGAAAATTAATCAGTGTTTAGAAGGTTTCTCACCTTAGTCATCATTTCCGCAAGTTGTCTTACTGTCACTTCATTATTTGGGTTTCCTACATTGAAGATATGCCCATTGGCTCTCTCTGGGTTTTCCTGTTAAAGATTCCACAGGCAACTCAGATGCAACTTCTTTGATAACAGAGTATCAAACAGGGATAAACAATGAATGAAAACTCACAATCATCAAGAGGACAGCTTCAATGGCATCTTTGATGTAGATGAAGGTTCTCTGTGATTCTCCACCATCCACAAGCTTGAGAGGCTCGCGCCTCAGAAGGTTCTGAAAATACACCCAAAAATTGAAAATGTTAAGCAGAAGCAGACGATAAAAGAAGCAGGGTTATAGGACTGAGCCTGTAACATACGTTGCTGAAGCACGCTAGAACACGGGGGACACCCTCGCTAGGACCATCAATGCCAGGGATGAAATCCATCCTAGGTCCAATCCAGTTAAACGGCCTCACAATGGTGAACTCAAGTCCGTTCTCAGCACCCTCAGCTGCAACCAGAAACAAAAGAAAATAAGATCCTTTTTGCCTATAGATATACTGAATTTGCTCATCATAATTGAAAGAACTGCGTACCATAGACAAGCCTCTCAATCAGTTGCTTAGCACAAGCATATGACCACCTCTGCTTCTCAATAGAACCAAAAATGCAAGGAGATGTATCTTCTTTCAGTACATAAAAATCAGGATCCTGAAAAAAACAAGACAATCATCATTTGTGAGTGGTACAGAAATAATAAATACAGAGACAAAACTCAAAAGTAGTAATACGAATTAAATTCTACTTGACATGAGAAAACTAAGCAAAAATAACTCCTCAGGTAGTAGTTGGGGATAAAAAGCCAAAGTCATACTCCGATAATTACAGGAAAAGAAACTACATTTTCTCAAACAACTAAAGGGGATAGTGATAGGCTCAGAACTAGTTTACTCTACTCTCTGAATCGAATTTAAGAAGACTACACACACCAACAATCTCATATTAAATTTCTGAAACCATCTTCAGTGAGTGTTTCACTGTACAAATAACATAGTTTCTGACAGGTACATTCAGCAGAGGGTGATGCTTAAGATGATCTGAGCCTGACCTGACGCAGAGGATGATCCTTAGGAAGAAAGCTCCCAATGGTTTTCCCATACACTTCACAAGTGGAGAAGTGAATAAGACGCTTGTTGTTCTCTGAGCAGTACTTAACCTACAATCACCACCTCAACGTCACACAACTAATATCCCTCAAAACAAGTAAAACACCAAAGGAAAAAAACACATACCACAGGAAGAGCATCGATGAAATTACTGTAGATAGTGTCAAGAGGACGCGTATTATAATCCGCAGGTGTACAGATCGCAGCCAAATTAATCGTCTGCAACGCAAAAACAAAAACAAACACATACGCAATTCGAAATTTCAATTCTCCGATAATCCATCAGATCTAACTACCACAAATAACTAACGAACACCCTTCCACAATCAACATTTCACAGAGAGAAGATATTTTACCAGATCCGCCATCTTAACGAGTCCTTCAAGCCTCGAATCATGCTTAATATTGATCCGATGGAACTGGATCCTCTCCGCCCACTCAGAAGTATCAGGCTCGAGCAAGTGCTTGATCTTATCGTTGTAAACGTCGAGCGCGAGGACCTTGTGTGGAGTCTCGTTCAATAGCTTCTCGCAGAGGTGAGATCCGATGAATCCACCGGCTCCGATCATGCAAATCGTGATCGGTTTGATCGGTTTCCCGTCCAGATCCAATCTAACGGCTCCGTTCGCCATTGAATTGATTTGATTCGTCGGTGGAGGAGGGAATGAGATCAGAGAATAGTGTGTGTTATGGAAACGCGTGAGGATCTGTCACACGTTGAAAAAGATAACAGTGGGAGTGTGATATTTAAAGCGCATGTGGATGGATGAAGGTAGGCATTATTATTATGTCTACGTGGAATTAAAAATTAAATTAGTTAATCTATGTTTTTTCTTTTTAAATTATAAAACTCAATGATGAATTTGTTCACGTGAAATTTTAGTTTTGGATCTAGAGTTTAGTGTGATAATAAGCTTTTGATGATTATCAATTTTTTGACTAGATCTTGACTCTGCGCTGTTATATATAGGTGTGTGTGTGTACATTATGCCTGCCGTCCACTATTATAGCAAAATAAATAATATAATGGTGTGTTATTGCTTATGTTATATGTAGTAAACTATGGCCTTCGCATTTATATACGTTAACAACACGCAAGCATCATCTTCTCTGTAACAGTATTTGTATTTATTCAACTATATTTTCATATTTTGGATTATTAGAGAAGAAGAGTAGTTGACAGAAGAATAACTTGTAGAAGCTAATGTTATAAAAAGTAAAAATTAATATTTTTCTGAACAAAATGCTGTAACTGACGGTGGAAGTTTCCTAGCTCCTAAGTAAGAATTAATTAGTGATACATTACAGCAATAAGCTTGTTTTTTCTGAGCTTTTCAGTAAAAAAAGTTTCAATCTCCCCATGGCAGTGAATGGCGGAAAAGCTAGAAGAAATGGAAGTTAGGAGAGAGCAAAAGATGGAGAAGGAAAGCTAGTTGTAACAAGAACAAGTAATAGTAACCACTCTCTGAGCTGTTGTTTTCTCTCCACTGCCCTGTGTTTATAACGTCTTTGCTTCTTCCTCCTCCTGTCGCTGAAACGTTCACCTCCAGAGAACCTGTAACGTAACAAAATTCTTCATCATACTCTCTAATGTACGGTGAGATATATAAATCAAACAAACTCACAGTCGTATACTGCCCATCCAATCCTTTGGCGATCAAGATCGTAGACTACCACTTTGTCTTTAAGAACCAAATCTGCATAGCAATCCAGCAAGGAGGAAACCATTTAAGAAAAATAATTGCATTGTTTCAGTTTCACTTGATCGAGTTACTAAAAGAATAATGACTCTTTACCGCCAAGAATCGTTATACGGCCACGCGGCGATCTCTGGAAACCAATGCACCATACTGAACTTCCTGACTGATGGATAGCAAAATGATTTACAAAACAAAAATATATCAAACTTTTTTTTGTTTGATAGCTAAGGGCTGAAGATTAGTACATGAGAACTATCAGTAGAGTAACTTGCAATACTAGAACTCATTATATCAGCTAAATGTTCAATCATGACAAATCCAACGCCTAGATTTTCCAATTTTACTCAAGTATTGATTAAAGTTCTCACTAGTGGCTCTCTCAGTCTAACAAACTTATAACAGCTCTAACTTGCTAGATACAGTAGACATGTAGCTAATTAGAGTTGAGCAGCTAAACGTCTCAAAGCTTGACATTGCCACAATACAAGACAACAAAACTTATGTAGTAGGGTATGAATATATATATATGCTTACACTAGAAAACATCTGAAGATAGTCACGGGGGGTCAAGACCATTGATGCACCACCAGCGAAACTCAAACTAACTTCAGGAAAGACATCAACGTCACTGCAACATGGATTCAAAATCATTTTTTTAGCAGCTAAACATTTTGAGAGGAGATAACAGCTGCTTTATATAAAAAAAGCACATGAGAGGAACTTTACCCAGATGTGATATCAAAGCACTGGTAACTCTCATATGTAATGGGACGCCCATACTGTGAAACAGCACTTGAAATCTGCAGGTTAAACGGTATATGAATCTTCTTTCTTGTAAGGTATAGTAACATCTATCTTCGAAATTATAATCAGGACTGATGAATATATAACGATTTGGTGAATGGAAAACCTGAAGGTGGAAGAAAAAAAAAACACTCACAGCTTGGATGAATGGGCTATAAGCTTCATCAGGAAGATAAGCAAGAGTAGTCCCTGTATCAATGATCGTCCCATCACCAGTGGCTATTGTGAAAACAGATGGATCAATCGGTAATATCTGATTGTTCACAGCAATGCTCTGCAGATTCACATTATAATGTAGCCTGAAATGTTTTTTTGCAGCATATTTTCTGAATCAAGACGTGGGGTTATATGTTTTTTTTTTTGAAACTCATTTAATTAAAGAAACCGATCCAGTTAGGTGGGAGATATAAGTATATTATACATTTCCTATTCCAAGCTAAACAAATATCATTTTACTTTCGTAGGTTCAGCTTTCTGGATCAAAAGGTTCCTACACCAGAGTGAGATAGCAAAACTGCACATTTTATATCTATGTAACAATTAGGATTTGAGAACTCACTGTGATGGAACAAGAGGAGTATAGACAGTATCCGGTCTCTTGATTTGACCAAGAACCATTATACCTCCACCGTTACTATCTCCCTTCAGACAATGCGAGAATACTCGTGGTGCGAGTCCTTGCGTAGCAAGCTGTGAAATTACAGATAAACGCCCCTGGCCTAACCCAAAGATGCCATCAACTGCTCTCCTAGGCCTCTGTAAATCTCCGGTTTGTAAATTGCTACACCTGTTTGTCAATATTGAAGATAAGCATCACATATCATGAAAACTAATGAATGTAGTTTGATATACGGTTGCAGAACAACTATTTCTCATTTGGTCAATATAGTGCATATACTTGCTGCTAGCTTACCCGAATACAAAGGGAGCAGAGGAATTAATAGCCAAGGTACTGGTAATAACAGTATCAAAGGACATGAAATCTGAGATGTAGTAACCAGAAGTGCCACTTTCATCACCATACTTAAACGAATAGGAACATAGATTGTTAGGAGAGCAGCCAGAATCTGACTCGAAATTCGAGTAACATCTCTTATCTGAACATGAAACCATTGAAGCTGAGGATGAGGATCCAGGATCAAAGAAATTTAGCTGAATCTGGAAACCAAACAAAAGAGAGTTAAAAACAAGATGTACCTTGTCACAATGATAAAGACCAAGTCAAGGCTAATGAGGAAAATTATAAATAAAATATATACTTGGAGTTCACTAGTCTTGGGGCAGCCGTTGCAGGAAGTGCAGGTAACCCATAAAACATCACTTCCCGTGTCAATTTGCACATTGAACTCTCTTGGTGGTGTCCCAAGTTTAACCTTTGTATAGTAAAGTCTGTAAATTAAAGCAAAACAAAACAGCAAGTACATGTCAACAAACAGAATCAAAGACATTCCTTTACTTCAAATACGAAACACATGATGAGGCAATAATCTAGAATGCTGCTAACTTAATCTCCACAAGCCATAGCAACGTTTATTCATTTATAATCACATCTGACTGAAAAATCCTTTCAGACAGAACCGAATGCCATTACTCAGTCTAACCAGAGACAAATTAGTTCATGCGATTCAGTTTGGTCGGGAAACTGTACTGCGAATTTCAAAAAGTGATTTTTTTTGGAAATCAGATAAATTAAAAAAAATTCAAAAAAATCGTAATTTAAAAGTGTATACCCAACGAGAAACGGATCAGAGGATCCATAAACAGGAAAATCAACAACACCGCCGACGGGAGACTGCAGTAGCCTTCCATGGCGAGCTGAATCAAAAGCTCTGAGGTCAGACAGGCTTAGTTCATGGCTCGGAGGAATCAATCTCTCCAGCTTCAGAACCGGGTCGGAGCCGAAAACCACGGTTGTCGCAGCGTGTAGAAACACGGCAGTGATGATAACTCCAAAAAGAGAATCCACCGCCATTTCTGGAGTTCGAACTTCTCTTCCGACCAGAGAGAGAGAGAGAGAGATATAAAGCCGCCAAAGTGAACGTTCTAATATTCTGATGACAGTATTAAAGTTATTCACATTTTTGGTAATTAATTTAATAAATATGGGAATGAATCTTTGAATTATTGCATAAATGAATTTGTTTTCAAGTAAAAAATAGATAATGTTAAAAACTAAAATACACTATATTTTCAGTTTTAGCAAAAAGAAAATACATAGCTTCCAACAAGGGTTAGATATTTTTCTTTGTTCTTTATTAAACTTTATTTCACTTAACCTCCCAATTGTATAAGATAAAGATTTAGACCATTAAGCTCTCATATGAATACAACAGAATATCTGACAGAGAAATAACTGAAGACTGAGCATTGCTCTCTTTTAGTCTTCAAACATCAAAATAGACTGGAAAACAGGTTTTCTCTATTGCCTCTGAATATGGTGATAACAATTAACACCAATCCAATCAAAGTATAAAACAAACCGAAAGATAAGAGAGTTTATTGTCTTCTGTGAGCCCTGAAGTTTAATTGTTGCACATCCTTCATAAGAGTCAAGGAGGAGCAATGGTCTTTTTGAGACAGCCTCTGGTTTAGGCAATGATCTGGACATGTCACGAAATAATATCAGGGAGGTGCTTAAAACGATGTTGCTCAAGAAACTTTTCTACCTCTTCATTATGACACATTCCATGGAAGATTGTATATTTCTAAAATGAACGTTCTACTCCTTAGTCTTATGATTCGGGAGGCTTAAGAGAAAGAGAGTAGTTTGGTTACCTCTCATTGATCTTTCAAGAGGAGTGAGGTGCAAGAGAGAAGTTGAGATACTTCCTCTGGTGTTGCTGTTCCAAAGCCTTGCCATCTTATTCTCCCCGATTTGTCTAGTAGGACAATATACCTGCAAGATAGATAAGAATGTGCAAAAGAGAATTTTTTTGTTAAGTGAATGAATCTATTATGCCTTCTCAACTTGGTGAAATGGAGGCTTTGTGTACCCGGTGAGAAGGTTCAGAACTTTCATTTGTTTTCGGAAGTGATAATGGTCCCCAAATGAGTAAACAATCTGCCTCTGGAGGACACTGTTCTCACTGTTGTTTGGTTTTTTCAAGACTCGGAGAAGTAGTTTCCTTATGGGAGCTACCCCTAGCAGCCATTTGTCTATAAATGAAACCTGTAATTGCAAGAAAACAAGTTTTCCTGAATAAATTGGCGAAGAAACAACTGTCACAAAAGCACTTGCGCAAATTCTGAAGTATGATCCAAGTATGAATAGCAGAAAACGAGTATGGATCAGTACCTCAAACAACTGAAGATCTTTCCTGTCGCCAAATGATTCAATAAATGGTTTGCTCCACGAGCTGATCATTTCCTGTCATAAAAAGCAACCACATCTCAGCAAGAATCAGACAAGCTGTATATACAAGGTCAATAGGTCATACTTATTTACAAGTGCTTTACTACTTAAGAATATTGTATCATGCAACTATTAGTTCCTAAGTTCAACAAGCAACACTTGCGTTAACGTTTACAAAATCTCTTCAAAAATGCTAACCAAAACACTTTCTTAGTTCGATTAAATTATAAAAAAGGTGGAAGCATTTGTACCTGAGAGCTAGCTCGGAAAGACAAACACACCAATGTCACCTTAGGAACAGCCAAACTCTCTGTCTCAACCACATTGCTGTTGGAAGTAATAGGCAGCTTCATGCTTTTCCCATCAGAGAAAGTCACCCCTAACACCGGAAACTTCATGGCCGACGCAGCAGGAATTAAAGCCTTACTAGCAGCTGCAATCTACAAAAAAAAAACATCAAAGCAGTCGATAAATAAAGAGGCATAGAGAGCTAGCTAAAGCATCTAAACAGTGCATAGCTAAGTAATAAGAGGCATAAGTAGCATCATTATACCTTACCACCATGTTCCTTGAACTCCTTCATATCAGCAAAGTACCCCCTATTCATCTCATCATTACTGCCCTAAACCACATCATAATTAACTTCTCACTGACTCAATTGTTAGAGGAAAATCCAAGAAGATGACATGGAAAATGTTTCTGTTAGTTATTCAGTTACAGAGTTCGTTACTCTGTTTTTTATACATACAAAAACCGGTTAAATACACGGTTAACACTAAACCACACTAAACCAATACACAATCGTATCAACTCTAATATCAATCTATCTCAAAACTCAGAGTAAATCGAATCCGAATCAACGGGAGGAAGCTTGCTTACAGTCTAGCACGCTCGTCTTCAATCGCTTTCTTATTCCCAAACTGCACAAAAGCCAAAAACAACATCGAGATCTAACAGTCAACGTCTCTCCGATACTCTAAATCGAACTAACTTCCTCAAAAAGTACCTTATAGAAGTCGAGGAAGGAGCGCGTGGTTGATCTAAGAGCTGGTAACTGCGAAGGGAGAGGGTCGTGATTCTCGTAGCGAGTGAGATTGAGGAGGCCTTGAGGATGGCTCCGATGCGAGAGAGCGGAGAGCGATCTACATTTTTGCTTTAGGATTCGATTCAAGGTCGTCGCCATTGTGGGAGAAGAGCTTAAACCCTATTTGTTGGTTTAAAGCCGCGTGAGACTGTGTTGTAAAGCGTGAAGACGAGATTGTTGTAAAACCTGAACCAAGTGTTTCTCGGCTAACCTGATTAAACCGATATTTTATTTTCCGGTTTAGACATTTGGTGACATCTATTTATGAAATTTACCCAAAATAATTTAGATATTATATTAAAATAAACATGAAATTTTATTTCGAATACTATGTTAATATTAATTCGGATATTCTGTTCAAATTTTTGAGTTTTTCAGATTTTTACAGGTTTTTGTAAGTTTTTTTTTTGTTTTTTTTTGTAAACAGAGTCTTGTAAGTTTTCAAATGGCATTTCAAATTCGGATTTTTGTTTCACATATTACTTATTACAATTCGAAATATTCTGCATAATCTATTTGGATATATATTTATTTATTTATTTATATATTTTTCGGTTCGAATTTGAGGTTCAATAACAAATGCCCAAACTTATGTGTCTATATTATTTCTCAAAAAAAAAAAAAAAAACTTATGTGTCTATAGTAAAGAATGAAATAGTAATTTGTTATGTAACGATGTAAATCATCAAAAATTTATTTCTTAATATTCCTTTTTAATTTTATTAATCTTAAAATATAATATAAACAAATAAGATTTATACTTTTAACAAATCTCATCACTTTGCTATGCATGTTTTATACATCCGCAAACAACTTATACGTTTTGGCATCGAGCACAATCTGCCTAACCGCAGCGACCATAGCAATCACTCCTAAGCAAGAAAACACTACGGCTATCACAGTGTTGATCCAAAATATAAAACTTTTCTTAGATGGCTTGAACGTGAAGTTGAAGAACACAACGGGTAGAACAAAATCTAGAGGCATGAAACCAAAAGCACCTAGCAACGAGTTTATATCTCCAAAAAATGGAAGCATTGCTGCAAAGATTGTAGCCACCACGACGAAGAGGGAACGGGCGGCTAGTCGAGGGATGACATTGCGGGTAGAGAATTCTTTCTTTGTTGGGTCGCTGAGTGCACTTTCCAAAATATCATTTATAGGTTGTAGATACACCTGCATAACTCAAAATTAGTGTGAAGTGATTTAATGTATTTTGTTATTTTTCTTTAAAATATATACTAACTTATATTGGACGTGATATATACTTGAATGTACTTTTTAAAATTAGTATTTTCTACATTTAGAGTAAAAATACATAAATATTATTTTATATCCTAAATAAAGAGGAAATAGAGTAAAAACATAAATGGGTTGGCATATATTTACCTCTAAATGCCATTTTAGAAACAAATATATAGATGAGTTGGTGATGTTCTTAGACGTTAAGATCTAACAAGATGTAATATATATATGTACTTACCACAGCAACGGCCGAGAGTTGCAGGACGGTGAAGAGATTGATGAGAAAAATAAACCAGCTAGGAACTAAGTAATGGCTTGTCTCAGGATCTAAGAAGTTGGTAAAGATGAGTCCATTGGCCTTGTTACCAAACGCCCAGTATCCTGAGATGGCTACCACAAAGAATGTCACTATCACTACTGTGTAACACATGCACAATCCTTTGAACATTTTTCCTTTTACTGGTGCAGCCAATGTTGCCTGCATTGCATAATGATAAGATTAATGCATATGTTGAGTTGTATATGATGAATCTAATTCAGATATCAAACCTGAATTTCGGGTATAATGCCATTGCCGTACGTAGTGGCAATGATAGCCATAGCATTAAAGATCCCAAACACTTTGGTTTCATTGTCACCAATTATTGCATAATCCTTCTCTGGTCCATTTGATTTATTTCCTGATTTTTAAAACGTACAAGTTTGTGATTTACATTTTGACCTGGTTAAAACAATCTATTATTTTTACAAAAGCTAGTAATCTTAACCGGAGCTCATACTAATCACTAGAGCATGTAACAAGTAGCGACCCCGAAGGAAAGCCAAGAAAGTATAGGCTTCCGGGTTTTTTTTGTTTATGTAAAATATAAGCCAAAACATTTAAAAAACAATATTATCAAAAAAAAACATTTAAGAAAACATCAAGTAGTTTAATTGTTAATGAAAATCAAAAATGAGATGTAGGTAATTGGTTCAATTCCTATCTATAACAATAGGCTTTTTTTATTAATTGCTTCCGGTCTATAGATATTCATGATCGGCACAAGTGTAATAAAGATTAAAGAGTAAGAGGTTTGGTATACCAATGATGATGGATGCAGCAGAGGCTGCAGCACTGTAGAGAAGGCATAGGACGAGGGAGAAGAAGTTGATGTGTCGTAGAGAATGAAAAGATGGGATTTGTGCCAAGACCAAGAGTAAGCCTCCGAAAAGTATCACAAACTCAAAGAGTTTCATTTCACCGTTTGGCTCCATGACTAGATACATTGCCTTAAGGCATTGACCTCCCAAGAGGGCATTGGCGATAACCACACCATAGCAAACCGCCATTTGTATTGGTCCCACGTAGTACCTTCCCCATCTCGGCCCTTTACGTCACATATCATCAAAGTTGTTAAGAGGAAACCAAACTTTTTCTAAACAAAGCAAAATCTCAATTTTGCATAATACATGATAAAAGCTCCTTATACATTTATTTATTAGTCTGAAGATCCCTTAGTTGTAAACTACTTGTTACATCTGAATGTACAAAATAAAAATGGAAGGTGTATGATCTGGTCCAGCTTCATGCTAGCTTTACTAGGAAGCCAATTTATTAATTATTCTACCTGTTAAAGCAGATCTAATCTTAGATCCATACTTGATCCTCCTTTGTTTATTTAAGATTGTTTTTTATCAAAAGGATATTTTTGACGCACACAAATAATTTGTTAATTGAAAGCTGACCAAATTTCAATATCAGCATTTAAAGCATTTCCATTTTCAGATTTATAATAATATCTCAAACAAAAATATGAACATTTAATACTCCCTCTATTCCTAAAAGATAGACTTTCTAGTGTTTTTACATATATTAAGAAAACACATTAAATCACTATTGTTTTCCGTAATTTTTAATTTTTAACAACTTTTAGCCAATAATAATCTAATAAAATCAATTAATTTTTTTGAAACTTGTAATTTTCTCATAGAAAACACAGAATATACATCTTTTTAAAACAAAATATTTTTCCAGAACATGAATCTTTTAGGAACGGAGGGAGTATAATTTAATTATATAACTAAATTTTTATTTTTATTTTGAATATTTTTTGTTAGATAAGAGGCTTATGAGATTCTAATATATTTTTTAAAGAAAATGAAAACTATCTTTTGAGGATGTTTCACCATCTATCCTCTTGTATTAATCTTTTAGCCATGCTTCATAAGGTGATTTTATATACAACTCAGATGAAAATTGCTCTAAAAAGCAAGACAAAGAGAGAGATAGACATGTAAAAGTTGATGCGAGCCTTTTAGGTCCGGATTATAGACTTTAGCAAATTACCTAAAGTCATAAATGCATTATATAGTATGAAATTAAATAAATCCTAATTAATTTTTTCACATATGTTTTACGCTTCATAATTAATCACAGCCGGAAAGCATAAACCAAAAACGAGATTTAAGTAATTCCAAGTTGCATTCCCACCCAAAATGCATTCCCAACCAAAATTCAAACTTTTATAGTCCACATATATTACATGACTTTATGGAATGGATTAAACAAATATTTTTCTTCAATGGTGGATGAAGAAATAATTATTAAGTTACATACAAAAGAAACAATTGTTTTATGGGTCAAAGATGGATGTAATAATTGAAAGTGGTGTTTTCTTCAAGAAAAATAATTGAAAGTGGTGTGCCATGTATGAGAATTCATATAGTACACGTAAGTCTATAAATGCAAATCAATTTCAAAAGAAATTAGGAACGAAATTTTTTTAATGCAGCTTTTATCTATTTTAGCTAGATTTCTATAGAATACAGAGAATAATAAGAACGGTAAAATAACAGAATTACCAAGAATGTGGTGTGCCATGTCTCGGAACCGGAGGTAGCGGTGACCTTGTGAAGCATGGTGCTGCAGAGTTAGTGAGAGGAGCGTGTATGAGTAAAACGTGACGGCTGCTCCTCCCACCAAACAAGATATTCCGGCAGCCCATCCCAAGAACTTGAAAGCATATGGTAGACTCAGTAGCGGTGGTGCTACTATCGATGTCGTCAAGTGGAAACCGCAGTGCCACCATGTGCCTAGTTCCCATCAATCATTCATTAATCATCAACCTCATTTATTTATTATATTGCTGTCAAAACCATATGCTAAATCTGAATACATATGGTGATCTATAGCAAACACAGATCAACAGATTACATGTTTTTTGATTCTCAATATGAAACGATTTGCATAACCGGTGCGGATCTATTTGCTAATATGTATAACATGTATACCTTTAGATTTAAGGACGAAGAGGGCACCAGCATCAACTTCTTCCCCTGTTTTTCTTCCATCTCCTGAAGGCTCTTCTTCGCCCATCTTTCTTTATTGTTCTCTCTCTTCACCAGACGGTTACGTAATTAGCTTACTTGGTTACTTACTCTTATAAGTCCAACACACCAGTCTTTATCATACGTTTTTCTGGTCAACGCCTACCATATTTCTTTATAATATAGTTTTTTTTTGGTAAAATATTCAGTTTTTTATATTATAAAGTTGGTTGTACATAGTTCATGATATTTTCGAACACTTCATTGTTTCAATTCATAACTTTTTTCCCAAACACGTCTTAAAAAAAGATATATATATATATATATATATATATATATATATATATATATATATGGAAAAATATTTTCTTGGAATTTGGCAAATCAAATAAAAATAATAATTTTCATTTAATACGCACATATATATACAATGAAACTTCTATAAATTAATAATGTTGGGACTACATCCACACTAGCATTTTTTTATTAATTTATCAATATACTAATTGAACCAAAAACTCAATTTGGGACTATAAAATTATATTATTTATAGAAATTTTAGTGTATATTAATTTATAGAGTACTAATTTAAAATGTTATATTGTATATATATCATAATCAAATTTAAAAAAATACATGCAATAAGTTAATAATTATATAAGTTGTATAAATATCAACACTCTATAAAACTTTAATTTACAGCGCAAACCAAACCAAATCTGCATGGAATATCTAGTTTAATAACTGATTAATGTGAAATCATGAATATATGTACCAAGTGTGTAAAGTGGACACTTGACTCTTGCAACAAGATTAATTTACACAGTTAAAATAGATAAAACTCAATGATGTGTGTGTATCAAACAAGAGCCGATTTGTTCTTCTTAGTACCACACATAACGAGTACATGGAGATTCCCCTGACAGTATAAATGCTGAACCATTTGAGCGATCATCAATCTTCCTCTCCAAACTCCTTTTGTGAATCTCTCATGAACCATCAGACTTGCTCAGTTGGTCGCTGTCTTGCTAATACCTTTCCAGCGAGCCTTTTTTCTGCCAACTCCTGCATTGTAATCTGAATGGCACCAGATTACTTAGGCGCACATGGTATCCACGTCCCATCAGGAGACTTGTAAAAGAACATGGCATCTTGGGTTTTTAAAACAGGTTCAAAGAGAACATCCTTGACCCAGCCACAGAGTAGAAATCATTCAGCATAAAGTCACCTACACAAATAGCCACATCTGAACCAGAAAATCAATCAGTCTTGCGAGCTAATATTCAAAATCAGCTTCATTCAAATTATCAGGAGTATCTCCCAAATGCACCTACATCACACCTTGTATCATTAAACTCAAACTAAACGTAAAAAATAACTTTTGAACTGTTTAGTTAAGGCTGTTTTGATTTTAAAAATTGCTTTATTCTTTGAACAAAAACTTAAATTGATATTATTTAAAGGTATTTCTTAATTAATACTGGTGAGTTGGCAGTGGCGTGAACTTGATTAATATGTAAAGACAGCAAAAGTGTAAAACCTAAATAATGGTATTGGTTGAGTCTTCTTACTTCTTTTTCATTAAAATTTAATACAACACCAAGGAGGTCACTTGTTTAACAATCTTCATTATAAAACATCGTCATCTACTGGACTTACAGATCAAAGTTACAACGAGACCAATCATAAAACCGTTTTCTTTTTCCTCCGACATTTAGGGAGCTTAATATTCTCATCGCCCATTTAGGTATGTTTTCGTGTTACATCTTTCTTGTTGTTTCCCACACCGACTTACGTGGTATATAACTGGTAAATATAGTTTTCAATTTTTTTTATGCGGTTAAAATATGTCCCTTCTTGTAGTGGATTACGCCGGGTTGATGGGGGATTCTTCTGCAAGTTCGAAGAGAGTTAAGCTCCGGGATGGGAGATTCTTAGCTTATAGAGAAGTAGGAGTTTCAAAGCATAAAGCCAAATTCAAGATCATTCTTGTTCATGGCTTTCGAAGCTCCAAAAATATGAATTTCTCTGTCTCTAACGTAAGAAATGCTCTTTGGACAATCTTGCATGGATGTTTGAAAAGCCTATATTTTATATATTTGTGATAAACAAAGCAAACAAATAATGGGAAAATCTCACTTAGTTCTAATTTTTTTCAGGAGCTGATACAAGAGCTTGGGGTGTATCTTCTATTCTATGACCGTTCTGGATATGGAGAATCTGATTCAAATGCCAAATCTCTGAAAAGAGAAGTTGATGACATAGAAGAACTTGCTGATCTGCTAGAGATAGGACCCAAGTTTTACTTAATTGGAATCTCCTTGGGAGCTTACCCCACATGGGGTTCCCTAAAACACATACCTCACAGGTAAACCAATATATCATTACTGAAAAAACAAATAAAGGCTAATTAAATAAGAGACTTACTCTCAAATATTAAAACAACATTTTGCTCAAAAATACCCCACAAAGAGAATAATTTTTTAAAAGTTTTCAAAAACAAATTATATAATATTCGAGTGTAGGGTTTAGTATTTAAGAGGGTGAGCGGGATTATAAATTTAGGAGTTATAGTAGTTTACTTTTTTTTCTTGTAAAATGAGTGCTATTTTGAAGATTATTTTGGGTGATGTTACTTATAAATGTTTTAAAATGCTATTTTAGGAGATTTGTGCATTAATAAAGTGGTCTATTGTGTCTTCTTTGCAGGCTATCCGGCGTGGCTTTTGTTGCTCCAACGGTGAACTATCAATGGCCTTCCCTTCCTGAGAAGCTTATCAAGAAAGATTACAGGAGAATTTTTATCAATTTGTGTTTGATGATATCAGAATATGCACCTGGACTGTTACACTGGCGTGTTATTCAACACCTCATCCAATCAACTAGTTCGGTCCTTAGAAGCAATGTGCTCTACCTCAATAGTTTCCACGACATTAAGGTGCTCAAACGACCAACCGTTACACCCAATGTTACTAAGGTCAGTCCGAGGTTCATCCAACCTGTTATTATATTATTTTTTTTGTAATGATAACCAAATCTTGACATTGTAATATCTTTCTATAGAATAAGGACGTAGTTTGGTTTGATACAATAAGGGATGATTTCGTGGCTTGTTTTGAGCAATGGGATTTTGAACCCGCGGATCTAAGCATTAGTAAAGAGAGCTCTGTTCACATATGGCATGGGATGAAAGACCCGGTGGTTCCATTTCAACTTTTAAGATGCATTCTGCAGAAGCAACCGTTGATCAACTACCACGAAATGCCTCATGGCGGACATATGATTGCGGAGTACGATGGCACTGGCGATGCCATTCTACGTGCGCTGTTGCTTGGGGAAGAAGAAAAGATATACAAACCAGTCTTGGACGCACCGTTTGATGGAAACATGTTCCACGAAACTGATTTGTTTTGGGGGTTTAAGCGAAAGAGGTTCTTGTTGCTTTTAGGTTTCTGTTTCTTTTTCTTGTGCTCTTATTTTTTCAACTAAAATATGTCATTGTCACTATTGTTTTCCCATTTGTTAGAACGATTATTCTTATGTGGGTAAACCTTAAAATATATGGCACATTTCATAAATAACACATTTTAGTTTTTTTTTTGCTTTATAATCTATCGATGTTGTGCTTTATAATTAATATCAAATCAAGAACTTTAACTATAACTGAGATTTTTAAAAGAAGAAGAATATACTGAAATTTTTTTGTAGCAAATTAGAAGGTATTATAAAATCATGTTCCAACTAATTATAAAATACTGAATCAGCACTAACTTTGTAAAGAATAGATAGTTAACGAAAAGGTGATTTAAAATTTTGTTCAAAATCATTATAAGATACCGAATCAGTACTAACTTTCTGAACAATAGCGAAATATAATTAACTGCGTTAAGATTAAAATAGATCAACAATAATATAATATCATATCGTAATAAGACTATAGATTAATAAAAGGAGGTCCAACTTAAAAATCCACATAGAAGAAATTGTAATGTTTCTGTTTTAATATAGTAGATTTATAAAAATGTTATAATTCTTTTCTATTTCTTTTTTCTATACCAGAGATTGTAATTTTTCTTCTATTTATAAATGAAGAAATAGCATTATTCTATTTTTTTTTCTATAGTTAGATATTATTACTTTTTAAAAATACATTAAAACAAATTATATCTAGCAAAATATATTGGAGATTGTTTCAGAATTTAGAGTAAAGGCCTGTCGATTCTACCTCCAAGCTACTATTGGGCCCATATTGAAATAAGGCCCAAACCCGAACCTCCTGAAAAAGCCTTAAACTATTACAAAATCACCGCACCCTATTTATTTCCGAACGCAAGTGTTCTTCCTCCAACTCCCAAAAATCTCTCTACCTTTTACGTAAATCAAAATCTCGTTAGGGTTCTTCCGATTAAAGACTAAAATCGAATTCGAAACTTCCACACATCGTACCTTGAAATTCTCAAAGATGTATCAGAACGGGAAGCTGGTCCCACCGAACATGCACCAGAACAGCACGAAGCTCCTCAACCTCAAAGTCCTTCGACGAATCGATCCTTTCATCGAAGAAATCCTCATCACTGCAGCACACGTCACCTTATACGAATTCAACGTTCAGAAAAGCGAATGGGTAAAAAAAAAGAGTTTCAATCACTCAATATCGTATAACGTTAACCAAACTGATCTTTTCTTTTTGTGTGAATTAGAGTCGTAAGGATGTTGAAGGATCTTTATTCGTCGTCAAAAGGTAAGTTTAAACCTAATTTTCTTGAAATTGTTTATGGAATTAAATTTTTGTTTTTTTTGTTTCAGAAATAGACAACAGCCTCGGTTTCAGTTTATTGTGATGAATCGTCGGAATACAGGTTAGGGTTTTAGTGGAATTGTGGTTTCTTGATTAAGAAGTAATCATTAATTAGTGTATTGGTTTTTTGGATTAGATAACTTGGTGGAGGATTTATTGGGAGAGTTTGAGTATGAAGTTCAAGGTCCGTATTTACTATACCGTAACGCAGCTCAAGAAGTTAATGGGATTTGGTTTTATAATCAACGTGAATGTGAGGACGTTGCACGTCTCTTCGAGAGGTAAATGTTCTTTGTTGGCAATGTATCATTTGTTATGACTTAGATGCTTAGCATTCTATTTGTTATGACAGATTACTTAGCGCATATTCGAAGGTTAACCAGAAGGCAAATAAGTCATCTTCGAAAAGGTGAGTAAGAACGTTATGTTTTAGGTTAATTAGCGGATAGATATTGTGGCATTAGTTTGTATGAGGCGGGAGAAACTGGAGTTATGTTGAATTGAGTTATGAAAATGTATTATGTACTGTAGGGAGTTTGAGGAATTGGAAGATGTGCCTATAGTGGAAGTTAGGGATGGTTCTCTTGAACCATCTTCAAGTGGTAGAGATGCTCCTAATGATCCTGCGTTTGTCAACTTCTTTGGCGTAAGTCTCTCAAGCATTATATACCAATACAGGACTAGTGTCAGGAGAGGTTTCTACTAGTTCTAGATTCTTGAATTATCTTTAACTTAAACTTAGATTTTGCGGCACAATGCTTTGGTTTTCTTACTTCCAAAGATTGTAAGACTGAATATATCAATAATGTCGTTGGCTTGACTACAGTCAGCAACGGCTCTTGGGAACACTACGAGTGGATCAGCAAGTGGACCACCATACCAATCATCTGCACAACCTCACCAACCCACCATTGCCTCTCCTGCAGCTGCAGCTGCACCTCCACAGATATTATCACCACCGCCTCAACAATCCTCCTCTCCTCTGATGTCTCTCTTTGACAACAACAGTCCTGATCGTATCAGCAGCAACTCCAACGTTCACACAAATTTGGTGACCCCTTCCTCTGTCTTCGAACCCCCACGGATGATGGCACAACCGCACCTCATCCCTGGTTCATCTATGCCCTCTGCTCCTCCTCCGACTTACCAGCAGGGTCCACATGGTACTCCGATGCTCCAGCCTTTCCCACCATCACTCGCTCCTACACACAATGGGCCGGTTATCAACAGAGATAAAGTCAAAGAAGCCTTGTTTGCGCTTGTTCAGGTTTGTTCTCTTACAACATTCACTTTTAACTTAAGCTGCTGTGCTCAAACCTTAACGTGTTGCTTTTGACAGGAGAATGAATTCATCGACATGGTGACCCGAGCTTTACAAAATGCACATCAACCATGAAGCTGAGCATGGTCGGCGTCTAGGCATGTGGGGTTTGATGTAGAATGTGTAGTTAGAACATAGTTTTGTTCTCTTTAATAACCTTTTGAACAAAATGTTGGTGGAACCTTCTTATAATCAACATTAACTCTTTTGTCGATATTGAATGAAACATCAAGCATAGCAAAGAAAGAAAGCTTTGTTTTGAGTAATATTATTACACAAGAGAGGGACAATGAGAAGATACAGTACAAATGAGACTAGAGAAATGGTTTTATCTCTCGAAGTAATCTTCGGTCCTGCCTTTGAATCCGATTTGTCCGAAGGTGAGACAGATGAAGAGGCCCAAGTGCCAAGTAACCAACCACAACCAGAACTGTGAAGTGAGAGCTGGAGGAGTTGGGAAGTGAGCGAGCTCAGTTCCTATGCTCTCGAAGAAGAGACCCGTCAGGCTCTTTCCATTTATGGCTGGGATACTCGACGGTGCTAGCCATCCGACCAGCCCAAACCCTATCACGTTTAGGTCTCTCCTCAACCAGTTCCTCTCAAAGCTTTTTTTTCATTTGTCACACAATATAAAACTATACATTAGAGAAATACGCTAAAGATAGATGTTAGGACTCAGTAAATAAAGAGTAACCCACCAAGTGAATCTTCCTCCTGATGATCCAGCGACTCTAAAAGGGTTCTTTGCCCTTAGTGTTGGTTTCAGAAAGGCTACAAACATCACAAGAAGTTACAAATCAGTATTATGTATGATATGTTTAGCTCAGTTTTTAAAATGACAGAATATAAAACAGTACATGAAGAGAAGGCTTTGGTGTTAATGCGTGAAACAGATGATCCTCCGAGACCTATCACCGTCGAAGGGGTTGCAAATGCTGTTGCCATTGTTCTTCTTTGCTTCTTTCTCCCAAACCGTTCTAACTTTGTAAACACAACACACAAAAACAAAGAAATAGATTTGATTTTTGTGGACGAATGAAGAGATTTCGAGGATGTGTTATCAATCAATAGCTTTGTGACACCTCACTATTTTCCTTGATATTGTGGGTCAACCTACTTCTTGGATAAGGTGGATTAAAATTTGTATTTAGTTTGAAATAAATGTATATGAATATGTGATTAAATCTAGTTAACTTAAAATGAAATGTATGTGAATATGTGATTATATCATAAATATATCAACAGACTGATATAATTATAGTTTTATTAGTACCATATGTAATCTCTTAAGTTTCATAATGACTTGTAGCATATTTTTAATTTGGTCACAAACTTAACATGCTTAGGGCATCATTATTGCAAGGTTCTTAACGTAAAGTCCTTAATACACATATATGTATATGTATATATTGTATAAGTGTATATAATTATATGTTAAGGATTTTACGGAAATCGAAGCCAAAAGTTTCTTAATTAAGGAACTTTTGGCTTCGGTTTCCGTAAAGTCCTTAATCTATAATTATATACACTTATACAATATATACATATACATATATGTGTATTAAGGACTTTACGTTAAGAACCTTGCAATAATGATGCCCTTATGCTTACAAAAAAATGGAACTACTAAATCATCACTTACATTTTAGATTTAGGAATCAGAGATAATTTAAGAAAACTTTTTTTTGTCAATAATTCAAGAAAACTCAACACAAACTTCTTTAATAATATGAAATTATATGACTTATATATTCATGAATATTTAGAGAAAAAAATACAATACCGGTAAATCCGTTATTTCACCAATGGGAGGGTAAATATTAGGATATTACCCATATACCCTCTCATAAATAGACAAAAGTAAAAAAAAAATCGCAAAACTTGTTTTATCTTCACCGTCTAGCAAATGCGTCGGCGGCTGACGCTTTCTTTAACCTAAGGAAAAAAAAGCTCAACACTTAAACATTAACAAACGCGCCTCCTTCTTCTCAAAAGGTTTAGGGTTTTACAGAGAGAGAGTTAGAGAGAAATGGGGAAGAGCGAGAAGACATCGTTGGGGCGATCCCTAGTGAAACACCACAATCACATGATTCAGGAATCGAAAGAGAAAGGCACTTACTACAAGAATCTCCAGAAGAAGGTTCTCGAATCCGTAATCGAGGTCAGCGACATCGACGCCATACTTGAGCAAGCTGAGGAGGCAGAGCGTCTTTTCACTATTAATCACAGCAACTCCACTCCTTTGCCTATTAATCTGTAAAAGCTTTCTCTTTTTTTATTTATTTATTAAAGTTTCTCTCTTTTGATTTGTTTGATTGTAAATAGTTATTCTTTGAGCTCTGTTTGTTGAGATTGTAGAATGAGAAGATTTCGAGTTGAAAAGTTATAAACTTTTTATTAAAGTTTCTCTCTTTTGATTCATTTGATTGAAAATAGTTATTCTTTGAGCTCTGTTTGTTGAGATTATAGAGTTCAGATAATTTGGATTTGAAAAGTTATAAACTTTTGATTAAAGTTGCTCTCTTTTGATTCATTTGATTGGAAATAGTTATTCTTTGAGCTCTGTTTGTTGAGATTAGAGTTAAGAGGATTTGGATTTGAAAAGTTATAAACTTTTTTGCTTAGTTATTACGTATCACTGAGTTTTAGCTGAATAAATGTAAATGTTGTAATGAACTTTCAAATGTATGTACTCACTTGTTTTATTAAAGTTGCTTTCTTTTGATTCATCTGATTGGAAATAGTTATTCTTTGAGCTCAACTTGCAGTTTGTTATGTTTTGAGCTCTGTTTGTTGAGATCATATAATTGTTGTTTGGTTTGGTACAGAGACGGCCAGTCTAGCTCAAGTATCATAGCAGCTGAAGAATGGAGAGAGCAACAGAAGATAGAGGAGGCTTTACACGCTAGCAGTCTTCAAGTTCCTCGAAGGCACGTGGTTTTTTAATTGAATTGATTTTATCCTTTTACATATCTTTGAGATTGTGAATAGTTTTGTTTTCCTTCATGTTCAGACCTCCGTGGACACCGGAAATGTCAGTGGAAGAACTTGATGCTAATGAGAAACAAGCTTTTCTGAATTGGCGCCGGATGCTTGTGAGGTTAGCTTTTTGTTTACACGCGTCTTATTGGCCATGTTACCATTCTTTCCTTCTCCAGTGTTAAAAGAAATCATTTTTTTTTTCACTGAAATGTTTGTTAGTTATAGTAAAATTTATTCAGCTTCTGTTACCAAAAAAAAGTTTACTCAGATGGTAAGTACGATGCATGTGTCTTGATCAACTGTTCCCTTGTATCTTATTGAGAAGGTTGAAAGGAGAAAAAAAAAGTCTCACTCTTGTATGAGTTATTTTCAGCAGATTTCATTTTCGCTGTTATTGATATACTGTGCTCTGTATAAGTGCATATATTTTGTTCCAAAACTAGCGCTTGCTTAAAACTGGAGTATTTTGGCATAATTTGTATGATTGAGGTGTGTTAAAGATATCGTTCGTTTAAAAAGCAAGCTGGATAGAGTTTCTATTCGTTCTTTTACTATATTAGGTGTATGATTTGATTTCAGCATTTGAACATTTCTAAGTTGATCATTTCCATTTGCTTACACATACTTGTTTTCCTGTGCATATGTTCAGGCTGGAGGAAAACGAAAAGCTTGTGTTAACACCATTTGAAAAGAACCTCGACATCTGGAGGCAGCTCTGGCGTGTTCTTGAACGTAGTGATTTGGTAAGTCTCTGAACTTCGGTATATTAACCCTTCCCTTAAGCAGTTAAGCTCAATTTCCAGTGTTTTATTTAATGGCATTATTTAATACTTATTCCTTTTCAGATTGTTATGGTTGTTGATGCTAGAGATCCACTGTTTTACCGTTGCCCTGATCTTGAGGTATTGCATTCTCTCCCAACTTTTAAGTCCACACTTGACCCCGTATTCCTATTTCATACAATTTGCTTAAAGATTCGTCTTGTCACAGGCATATGCTCGAGAAATCGATGAGCATAAGAAAATGATGCTTCTAGTTAACAAGGCTGATCTTTTACCTCCTCATGTCAGGTAGGTTTATTGTGACTTCCTACTTTGCCTCCAGTCTTTCTCTGTCTTCTAATCGAGTAGTTTGCTTCTTAACATATCTACAGGGAGAAATGGGCAGAATATTTCCGCCAAAACGACATTCTGTTCGTCTTCTGGTCAGCTATAGCTGCTACAGCTGTCCTAGAAGGCAAAGTCTTAAAAGAGCAATGGAGACAACCAGACAACTTTCAGAAGACAGATGATCCAGAAATTGTGATATATGGCAGAGACGAGCTGTTGAGCCGTTTACAGTCTGAGGCTCAAGAGATTGTCAGAGCGAGAAACTCCAGAACTTCATCATCTACTGTTGAGTCTCAACGTGAGAATGCTGTGGTTGGATTTGTAGGGTACCCGAACGTAGGGAAGAGTTCTACAATCAACGCATTGGTTGGTCAGAAACGAACAGGAGTCACCTCTACTCCAGGAAAAACAAAGCACTTCCAGACATTGATCATATCTGATGAGCTTATGCTATGTGATTGTCCTGGTTTAGTCTTCCCTTCCTTCTCAAGCTCAAGATACGAAATGATTACTTGTGGTGTACTTCCTATTGATAGGATGACAGAGCACCGTGAAGCTATTCAAGTGGTTGCTGACAAGGTCCCTCGCAAAGTCATCGAGAGTGTCTACAACATTACTCTTCCTAAACCCAAAACCTATGAGCGTCAGTCTCGTCCACCTCTTGCTGCTGAGCTTCTAAGAGCTTACTGTGCTTCTCGTGGCTACGTTGCCTCTAGTGGACTACCTGATGAAACGAAAGCAGCGAGGATGATTTTAAAAGATTACATTGGAGGTAAGCTGCCACATTTTGCAATGCCACCTGGGATGGCAGAAGAGAAGATAGAGGACACTACTCCAGGAGATGTTGAAGGTTCAGATTCTGAAGATTCTATCGTAGGAGATGATGAGAAAGAAGGTGAGCAAGTTCCTGGTATTGATGACGTGCTAGATGATCTGACCTCGTTTGATCTGGCAAACGGGCTAGCTTCTTCCAAGAAAGTGACTGTGAAAAAGGAAACGGCTTCACATAAACAGCACAAGAAGCCACAGAGGAAAAAGGATAGGAACTGGAGAGTTAAAAACACAGAGGATGGAGATGGAATGCCTGTGGTTAGAGTTTTCCAGAAACCGGCTAACACAGGGCCTCTCACGATGCGGTGATCTCACCAAATTGTATGAGATACAGATGGTGTATTGTCAAACGAAGATACTACAAAGTTTTTTTGTTTTCAATATGTAATAACAGTTGAACCTGTCACAGTTCTTGTTTTCAATATGTTTTTTTTGTTTCCATGTTTTAAGTCTTACTTGGTGAAAAAGAGAGATGGTAGAGTGACATTTGAAATCTGGCTTTAGTTTTATTTGTTAATCATAGCATCATAACTATATCAGAGACCATTCAACTTAAAGTTGAGTGTTTACATTAGAGGAAAATGGCCAACCTTCTTCTTCCTCTTCCAAGAGTTTGACATACTTAGTACTTTATCCAGGTATGTTTGATGTTTAGGTCTTTCAGTGTTGGTTGTAGTTTGAGTTTTTGGATTCAGCTTCTCTTTTCAGTTAATAACTAGAATACGACTCAGGTTAAAACACTGATTATGTTTCTTATTTTTGTTTCATTTGAAAACCAACAAAACAATTGTGTTATCTTTTATTTATTTGATAAAATGTTTAGTTAGTTGGCGTTATGTTTCTTTTTTTTTTTTCTGAATAATTGATAGTATTGTTTAAAAATTTTGTTTAGTCATTTTTATCAAACCACAACTTATTTACTCATATATAAATTAATATTTTATTTTATTTAATATTTTACGTTATATATTTGGTAACATATATAACATATGAAATATTTATCCATGTCTTATATACTCATTTCAAATAGTAATTTTGATTTTTAGTTTGAATTATTTGAATTTTAGAGATTATTTTAGAATTTTATTCAAGAGATCGAGTGTTTTGGATATTAAGATGATATCGACATACACTTAAGATTATTCTACAGAGATAGTGTTTTTGATATTGAGATGAGAAAGATGAAATCGGATCCTTAGATTACACTCCAGGTCTACAGATGATCATGTTCCAGTCGGTGGACAAGTGGCTTGAGGCATGGGAAATGCATGTGCTGTTTATTCACGCAAATCTCTTCCAAATCGTGAATCCTGCTCTTATTCCAGTTCAGTCAAATAGACTTTACAAGGTAGACAACGAACACATGGTTGATCTTAATCACAGGTTGCACTCAAGCAGCCTTCCAAGGGAGAGAATTTACATGGGATGAAGGTTTCTTATCAGACTCTCAATCTGGCATCCTTTTGAGTTTGGCGGTGTTCAATTTACTTTGAACAGGAGGATGTTCAGAAGAGCTCACAACCAAGAGCATGCGCATGTGAGGACAACTTTTGTTCACTACATATACAGAACATGAGGGTTATTCTTGTTGAAATTTATCCATGTTTTATATACTCCTTTCAAATAATAATTCTGATTTTTAGTTTGAATTATTTTTTATTTTTTTATTTTTTATTTTTTATACACTTGGATTTGGATAACATTCAGAAATTGCTATTCATATATATATATATTTGTTTTACGGTTGGGATGGGATATGGAATCGAGTTATTTGGTTCGAGTTTGAATTAGATTTTGGGGTTATTTGTTAGTTAGGGTTAATATTTTAGACCAAATAAGGTTATTACTTATGAATGGGCTTGTGTTAATAGTAATACAAGGTTATTTATGTACAAATTTTTCTAAGACTGGCTAATACAAGCTAATTTTAAAACCAAAATTTCTTAAAATTTGGAAGATTTCTTGGTAAGAAAGATTGACTTTTGTTTTCAAAATGCAATTTTGAGTGACTAGATTTATTATTTTGAAGAACAAAAATTCATACATATGATTATTTCATCATATCCTACCATTATTGTAATATGCTCAGTCATAACTCTAGTTTATTTTGACATATATGTTAATTTGTTAGAATATTTTAATAGTTATCAACATTTTGTCTGAAACTAATTTAGTTGATTTCTTGATCATCGTAACATTATGTGTAGATATATATATATATATATATATATATATATATATATATATATATATATTTGTTTTACAGTTGGGATGGGATATGGATTCGAGTTATTTGGTTCGAGTTCAAATTAGATTTTGGGGTTATTTGTTAGTTAGGGTTAATATTTTAGACCAAATAAGGTTATTATTTATGAATGGGCTTGTGTTAATAGTAATACAAGGTTATTTATGTACAAATTCTTCTAGGGCTAGCTAATACATGCTAATTTCAAAATCAAAATTTCTTAAATTTTGGAAGATTTCTTGGTAAGAAAGATTGGCTTTTGTTTTCAAAATGCAATTTTGAGTGACTAGATTTATTATTTTGAAGAACAAATATTCATACATATGATTATTTCATCAAATCCTACCATTGTTGTAATATGCTCAGTCATAACTCTTATATATTTTGACATATTTGTTAATTTGTTAGAATATTTTAATAGTTATCAACATTTCGTCTGAAACTAATTTAGTTTATTTCTTGATCATCGTAACATTATGTGTAGAAATATATATATATATATATATATATTTCTTTTGCGTATATTGTTATGAATTTGTGGTACATTTGTTTAGTTATCTAAATTAAATATACTTTTAAAAGTCATTTAGTTTTCTTGATTCTTATTACATTTTGTGTAGTTATATATACCTTTTGAGTGTATTGTTACTTAAGTTATTATCTAATTTCAACACATCTTTTTGAAAAAAGCTAATCACATACCAAAACAATAGATTTGAATTGATTAAAAATAATCTACTGATATTACTTTTTTTGTAAAAAAATTAACAATATATTATATGAAAAGTAATATTGTTTAGATTCTTATTTAATTGATGCTAATCCAGTTTGGATGTGATTTAATCCGTTTTATTTATGATCATATTTGCGCTCTCAATGTTATATAATTCTGTACAAATTCTGCATAAAAGTTAAGTTGACAATTTATCTTGGATATAATTTGTTTTGTGGTTTTATAGCTGAAATTAACGTAGAAGCCTAAGATATAGTATTCACAAACAAAACGGAAGCATTAAAATACACTCGTTAATCTCATTAAAAAATGAACGAAAAAGAGCAACAAAACTGTGAGTAAACTAAACACGTGTCATATCCTAATGAACTTATTTGATGACGTGGACTCATAGGAGGGAAGCAAAGTCTTCTTTATATAATTAGATAGTATATGGTTAACATGCATAATAACTGTTTATAAAGACTCATTTTAAGTTAATAAAATTGGATAGGCATTAGTTTCTACCAAAATTATTAAAAGTAGATTACACTTGCTGATCAAGGATAGCTAATACGATAATTTATATCAAGATTTAAGTGCGAATTAATATTGATTAGTATTGTTTAAAAGGATAGTTAATGTATAGGAAAGAATTTGGTTATGCCATAAATCATGAATCTATATGATATATGCATGTAGGATCAACAATTTCAACTTTCATAAAGGATAATTATGGTTTTAAAAATGAACAAAATGCTGAACATAAATTCAGTTGAAGAAATGAATAAACAAAAATATATGAATTACTGTTCATTCGATTCCTCATCTAAATTACAGAAGTCCTCATAAAAATTTTCATAGATAAAGAAATTAGAGGAATAGAATGGAACCTATAGATCTACAATTTGGTAGAAAATTCAGCATGAATGGTATAACAATTGAGGAATAAGAACTTTACTATCATTTTTTTTTATAATTATGGTCACCAATTGAAGCTTATATCTATCATTATTAATGAATTTCATAATGAAATGCCTTGTTTACCCATTTTAAGACTTACAGAACAACCTTTAGTAGAAAAAAGTATGATTTAAAGTAATAAAATAGATTTCTAAATTTATGTATATTCAAAATATTATAAAAATAAATATAAAACTAAATATTTGAAAATGTTTTATCCATTTTTTATATACTCATTTCAAATATTAAATCTGATTTTTAGTTTGAATTTTTGAGTGTTTTATACTCTTTTAGATTTGGATAATATTCAAAATTCGCTATTCAGACAAATATTCCGAGTTCTTTGGTTTGGGCTCAGTTTAGATTAATTTGACCAAGGCTTATTGGGCCCTCTTTCGTTTGTTATAAACTCTATAGAGAGGAGAGAGAAACACTCAATAAAAACCAAAAAAAAAAAGAAAAAAAGTGAGACGAATGTCTGCTATCGTTTTAATTTCCCAGGAAAAAAAAGGTTAACAGTTTCTGTTTATAGCTCCACGATCCCAACCCTGGGAGATAGCTAAAAGCTAGGGTTTCCCGATTTCACCCCTCCCCGTGAAATTGAACCCCTATTAGATGCTATAATCAAAAGATTCATTTCTCATATAGCTGAAACTCGAATCCTAAATTAGGTTTTAATACTCTTCAAAATCATGGATGAAGAAGATTCCTCTATGGTGCCCGAGCACGATCAGGAATCTCAGAATCAAGACGAAGCTAAACCGTCTGATGGCGGCGGATCGATGCCTGCGTTTTCGAGTCCTGAACCGACGACGGAAGCTGTTGTAGGAGGAGGAGAAGCGCAATCAGCGGCGCAAGTGGTTGGGCCGAGGTGTGCGCCGCCGTATTCGGTTGTGGATGCGTTGATGGATAAGAAGGAGGATGGGCCTGGGCCTAGGTGTGGTCACACGTTGACGGCTGTTCCTGCTGTTGGTGAGGAAGGGACGGCGGGGTATATTGGTCCACGTTTGGTGTTGTTTGGTGGAGCTACGGCTCTTGAGGGGAATTCTGGTGGGACTGGTACTCCGACTTCAGCTGCTCCAAGTGCTGGGATTCGTATGTTCTTTTTTTTTTTTTTGGCTTCTTACTTGTTTCTATTTTTTGATTGGTTTCTTAGAAGGTTTAATTGTTTTTTTTAATCTCCAAATGGTTTTTAGCTATTTTGCTAGAGATCAAGATTTAGCTGTTGGATAAGATCTTAATTGGTTATTTGTTTGGGATTTTTTGTGAATTTTGTCTCGGTTTGGAAACTTTTGGTGATTCTTGCTTCGATTCTGTTAATCTCCAAATGGCTTAGCTGTTTTGCTAGAGGTGACGTGGCTCGTACCGTGACTTATGTTTGTAAAGACTTAGCTGTTTTGAAGATCTTCATTGGTTATTTGCTTGGAATTTTTGTGAATTTTGTCTCGGTTTAGAAACTTTGGTGATTCTTGCTGTTAATTTAGCTGGTGGTGTTAGCTTTTACAGTAGCTCTCCCCATTTTTACGTTATTAGTTGGATTATAGCTTAAAAATAATTGTGCGAGTTCCAAGATCTCGTTAACTACCTTAGTCAAGTTAAAGTTGTAACCTTTTTTCATGTGA